TCTCAGAGGTGTATGATTTCGTCCAACCCTCCATTGTTGCATCAGACTGAACGGTTTTCTAAAAATTGACTTCGCTGAATCCATGGCTTGACTGTGATCTGCTGTAGGTCCACGACCTTACAAGCTGCATCTAAATTTTTGATACCAAATGGTCCCCTACTCAATTGTCTAAATCTATGCAGAATTTGGTGCAGCGATGCCACACCGTTTGGAAACTATTCCGAAAAAACCTCGGGAGGGGCTCAATTTGACCCCACCCGATCACGCGTTAAGTTGTTTACGAAGCTCCTAGTATATGGCTTAAGAAATATGACACGATGTTAGTGCCTGCGCGTCTGTTGGTCATGGATATCGCCAATCACACTATTTGGGCAAATGTCAACGAAAGAAAGTAAAAACACATGCAAAATCAAAATAAAAACGTAGATCAGTCTGAACTATCCAACTGCAACACATACCCGTTCCATTTAAAACAGGATCAACCTGGCCAGGTAACATTGTCGACTAAGATACTGTGTTCCAATTATCTTCAGCTATATCATCCTATCGACACCTAGAAGTGTGCATTAGTGTCCAGTTGTCAACTGCGTTTAAACTTATCTGCGAGGACCGTCGTCGGCTCTTAGGCCTGTCGATGTCGTAGTTGATGCTAGTGGCGATGTGAGATCGCTGGTCATCAGCAGATAGTTGAATTGTTCCACTACCGCCTGCGTTTGTCCCTGCCTTCTTGCACTGCGTGACTGCACGTATCAATGGGCACTGGCAATGACTTGATGATGCCGACTCTATAAACCAGCACTTTGGGCACAGACGGGGAGATAAAGTACCATTCACACATTGAACCAACAACTGAACCGTTTCCATGACATATTGCGAGTACTTCGGAGTGTCGGTAAGTAATAATGAAGACAGAAGACACACGATAACGGCCAATCACAAATCATCTCTGGATAATTCTCAGAACCTCACCGATCACTTTACTGAGCAATTCGGAAGGCACGACGTGCTATGTTGCCGCCATTTGATGCGCCGTGTCCCCTGTTCTCGGCTTGCCAGCCACCAAACTCCTCTCTGAAACGCTACTGTGCCATTTTCTTCTGCTCGTGTGTAAGCGCTTTTGTTTTGAAGTCACCACCCGGACCTGAACTTGCAACGCACATGATACGCGACGGATGCACTCGAAAACAGGAATCCAGGCGCCCACAGTCAAGAGGTCAAATTGGTAGGTCTCCGTCCTCCGTGCGTACGTCGCGAGCTAATAACCCACTGAGGTCATTTACTTTCCTCTGGGTGACTCCATACGCAGTGCAACACTGCTCTTAGCGTCTGTCAGAGCACTGATGACTTTACAGGATCGCACGACCGGCCAGACATCGTCCCGCCTGGTCTCCAGCCAGCAACCTCCATAATTTGTTTTCGGACCTGTTCTGCCGCCATACAGATTTTTGGAAATTGTTCGCAACATACAGACAAGTGCCCTAAATACCATTAAAAGTGGGCACTGCCGCAGCCATTTTTATTGGGGTCCGTAACTATCATGTTCGGGTATTGTTTTAAGTAGGGGTTCCCTCTTCTAGTAACAGCCTACTACGCATGTGGCTCAGAATTATACATTATTTTGAGGGACCAGTGGGATCTATTTCAATGCCTGCAATTGTCCAAACGATGCGTTTGCGATCCTTTTCATGCCAAAATACTGTAGTCTTGGAACGGTTATTATCCATGAATACGCGACAAACATCCTGTCAAATTTTAGCCAAATGGAGGCAAAAGTGGCCAAACATGGCCAAATTTATGGCAAAACTAAGACCAAGACGATTAGGTAGCTTTTGAGGGTGGTTGCACATAGTCTGTGCAATTCGTTGATAGAAAAAGCGAAGGGAAGTTGTTCCCAATAGTCTGGAATTAACGTTTCGGGCATATTTGAAACAAAACTAGCAATGTCAGTTGTTGACAAACTAACTTTGTTTTCACTTGGGGAGACATTACGTCAAAGTCACATCCCATATGTTACAACATTTTTTATTCTTTCCTTACATTGAAATATTTTTCATCGGTTATTTTTCAAATTCGTTTCGTTTATAACTGCTAAATAGATTTCACAAATTTGCTCGAGTCAATTTTCCAGCCGATCCGTGCATTTGACGGAAGTGTTCAATATCTGTTTGGTATTGCTCACTGGATTAGCCATCTTGAAGATCACTTGGTGCAGATCACACACACACCCCCCTCCCCACCTTCCCTCCTTAAGACCCCAAATCTTCTAGTTTCTGAGCTACACGCTAGCGAAGATATGCAGACTATCTTAATGTTGCCCAGGCGTCCATGACGTCATAATAGCGTCATTCAAAAATCCGGCAATTTCACTGTTCATGCGGCGTTTAAGGTCAATAAAAATATGGCTCTCAAGTCTTTCATATCTGACGTTCATGAGCCCGATTTCCAGATATAACGGCCGCCAACTGGCCCTCAACCAATGTAGTGCGGACTATGCAAGATTCTAACACGAGTTGGTTGTTTGGATTAGAGCCCTATCGACCAGTATCGATAATATAAGGGCTATGGGTTGAAGGAGACTGGGAAACGGTGGGGCAGGACTACGTGCGCCCGGGGGCCAACCGCCGTCTGCGGGATGTGTGTTGGGCGCCCACTCGTGACTGGCGCATGCAGCCTGTCTCGGCCAAGCGGGGAGTCGCGAGGATGCAGGATGAAGCAAGAAACAGGATACGAGGGTTGGATATCGAACACGATTTGGTTATTTGGTTGTTTTGATTAGGGTCATTTCTACCAGAAATAATCATTCCAGGGCTATAATATAAATGAGAATGAATAGCGGTGGAGCAGGACTATATGCGCCTGGGTGGGGGGGGGGGGGGGGGAGAGGGGGCAGCTGCGGAGACATAGCCCGCACAGGGCGCACGCCTCTGCGGGGTGCGTGCTGGGCGTCCGGTCGGGGCATCCTCCAAGGGGCCTGTCGGCTCACTCGTGGCTGACGCATGTATGCCTGCTCCGAAAAAGTGGGACGTCATACAAATTCAGGATAAAGCAAGAGTTTAATATCTTAAGAACAGCTCTTTAACTGGACATGTGAATACAAGTGAGAATGTTATACTCACGTGCTAATATTAGAGAAAGCCACGAGACAGAGCCAAAACACGAGCGCATTACGGTATTTGACACAGTTAACACTTCCAGGCCGTGCTGCCATCTCACGGAAACTTGAGGAATTACAGGCGAGTGCTCTCATACAAACGTTTCATGGCAGAATACAACAATGACGCATTGACGAACATATCTACTGAATAGAGAGATTCTGTCACATGGAGCAATCTTTTCCACTTCAAGTGATCCCACCAGCCGTAAGTGAGCTTGTTTAATCACACCTGGCGCTCCCCTCAATATCTTCAAATGTGGAATATTTCTTTTAACTTGTATTGTGGCCTCTCGGGGTGTGTGCGAAGGCCTCGCTTACAGATCCGCGCCCCTGGAATTGCACGGCAATAGGATTGGGTGTCCGTCGCCAGTTACTTTGCCTTATCTCACCAACTTATGATGAGGTACTTCAATATTCGTAATCCGGCATCCGGTAAACCGTTTTTATTTTGTTGTATGCATCTGTTTGGAAGTTGCATGCATCCCTTTTTGTTGTATGCATCCCCTTTTGTTGTATGCATCCCTTGGGAAGTTTTCATCTTCACTCGTTTTCATATCAGCTATACGATCGTGTAGAACTTGCTCTACGCCCAAAGACAAAGCAAATTATGCTTGTTTCACTTTCATCAGCACAGTAGAAACAGACGGATACAGTATAATGCAGCACAGCACAGAATCCGCGGACGTCACGCAGAATGCACGTCATTCGGTTTGGTCTTCTCGGCCGGACGGCGAGGAGTCTTCGCGACGTCCGCGGATTCCATACCGGACGCGTAGCGTCTTTTCCGCGTGCTCGGCCACCCTGAGGCGGCAGTGGTGTAAGCTAGAACTGCCAGTTTTTGTGACCATGTGACCCTTCGGGCCAAGCAGCTCGAATCTGAAATCCCATGCCTGTCCCCCGAAATCGTATCGGTAAAACCCTCTCCGACCCGCAAGTCTTGCTTTTTGTCCTAGGCCAGAAACTGATGCTTAAAGCGAGATGAAAGCTGAAACACCAACAAGGCTTCGCAATACTGCACGGCTTTATCATAAGCTCATGTACCACCGTCTGAATATAAAGCCACTTACAACAATTCCAGCAAAATGGTTTTGAATCGCACAACGCTTACACAACAGCAACAGATCAAAAAGCACAAATCCGCTTACTGGAGCTGGAGCTGCGAAGGAGCAGGCTGTGCCTGCCTTGCAGTCCAAGTCCCGTAACTGTCTGCAGGTTGACGCTCGGTGGCGACCGTTATACGATACCATTCAAGGTTACAGATGTGCATTTAAACAACTGACGGGAAGCGGCCTTGAAATAGAACGGGAATTACGTGTGGCTTAACATGGAATACGACACAACACACGCACAAATTGCAAGACCAGGGCTGATTTTCAACCGGGGATCTCGGGATTCTGATACCAGAACAGACACCCCGTAACCAGTGCCTTTGTGGACGTAGGTACCGGTGTGAGCGAATCCCTGCTTCATGCTTAATATTCCGAGGCTCGAACTGCGCCAATGGTCCATGCTGGGTTCTGGGATAGCCTGTACAACAGCGTGGCCAGCCGTTTTGAACTATAGTGATGACGCTACGCATACTGCCGAACAGGGCATGCCAAGGCATTGCTATGCTTTGTCATGACACAAGACAAGACATAACACAACAACACAAGACATACCCTCGTCCTGGTTGGCTGCCGCTGTTGATACCGTCGTTTCGGGGCAGTCTTCTATCTTTCTTTGGGCTGGACTCAGCTGACCGAGCGTAGTCAGCTGGCCACCGCCCAAGGGCGAGCGGTGACCCCATGTGACCTCTGGCTGGACCTCCGGCTGATTGGCCAGCTGCGATTCACTCGCGAGAGCTGGCGACCGCAGGAGGAGCGGGGAGGATCGCTGCCACGTAAGTTTTAGATACAGTGTGTCACCGGTCATTTAACTCGGGGGTGCAATTTGTTGGAATTCGTCCAATGTGCTATCGTAATTGGCTTTAAAATGCTACGCGCTTGGTGCGCCGCAACACTGGGGGCGTGAAGGCCACAGATTCTGCTCTACAAGCACTTCCCAGCACCAGCGACTCGCGACTGCCGCGCTGTTAGATCACGGAGTAATCGAATTACATGCATTCGAAGAGGAGCTGTGAACAAGTGTTACTGTGGTGCACTTCTTCGGACTGTATCACAACAAAAGTATATATGTAAGGACATGGCTGTCTGGTGAAGCCATCTTACTGGTGGTGGTGATCCAGTATGTCTGATGAGGCTGTCTGGCCGGGGATGGAGACCCAGTATGTCTGGGTGGTAGTGGTGATCCAGCATGTCTGGGTGGTGGTGGTGGTGATCCAGTATGTCTGGGTGGTGGTGATGATCCAATATGTCTGAGTGGTAGTGGTGATCCAGTATGTCTGGGTGGTGGCGATGGTGTTCCAGTGTGTCTGGTGAGGCCATCTGGGTGGTGGTGATAATCCAGTATTTTCTGGATGGTGGTGGTGGTCCATATCTCTGGTGAGGCTGCCCGGGTGGTGGTGGGATCCATTATGTGTGGTTGGTAGTGGTGGTCCAATAAGTTTGAGTGGTGGTGATGATCCAGTATATCTGGGTCGTGCTGGTTACCCAGTATGCCTGGGTGGTAGTGGTGATCCAGTATATCTGGGTGGTGTTGGTGGTCCAGTGAGGCTGGTAAGGTGACGAGGTAAGCATGAGGTGAGGTGAGGTGTCTGGGTGGTGGTGATGATCCAGCATTTCTGGATGGCATTGGTGATCCAGTACATCTGGCCCCCGCGCTGCGCAGTGAGGTCAGCAGCCGTCCGAGTCGGCATGCTGCGTCTCCTGGTGGTGACGGCTCTGGTCGGGCTGGCCTGCGGGCAGTCGGCGTCGGGACCCGTAGACGCGGACGGCTCTGCGCCCACAGACGGCCTGCCCTCCACTGGAACAGGTGAGGAGCGCACCCCTACGATGGCCCAAGCCCAGGGGGAGGCGAATAGGATTTGCTAACCACTTTTGATTCTGCTTAACCACATGCATTTTTTGCTGAGCTATTTCATCGATGGTATCAGAAGCGATGGTGTTTCGCACTCATTCTACAAAGAAGTAGCTGCACAATGCAATTGTCACTGGTTTCACCTTCCAAAATATCAGCAAGTGAAGCACATTAACTAATGATTACGGTGTGCATACATCAGTTTGGAGGCTGTTGCCCACTAGCCATATTTTCTGCAGGTCGTGAGATTTACGTTGATCTGCGGACAGAGAGGAGACTTCCCTCCCCCCCCCGCCGACATCTCGAGAACCGCTCGTCCAACGTTGACTTGACGTGCATCATTCGCTCCGTCTCAACAAGATTTTCACTTCTGAAGACCAAAACCCCAAAAGTTTCGAAATAGGGCGTCTGAAGGGAAAAATACTACGAAGCTTTGTTGATTTTTGAAGGCTATGCAAATGTTTACTAAGAATGCTCATGGTGTAAATGCGGTTCAGCTTCAGACAGTAGGTCTTGATTGCATTACATGCTATTGCATATAATTATGTATTTATTGCATATGCTCGTATTCGTACACGTTTGTATTTTACAATTTTGTTGGGTTGTGTATAGGTCTAAATGTATTCAAGATGAAACCCAAAGGAAAATATAGGACTCTAAAATAGCATCACAAAATATTATTGGATTATGTGCGGCCAAAAGGTACTTCAAGGTCAGTATTATCAGCTATTTGTGTTTATCTGGGTGATCAGGTATACTTTGCCACTGGATATGTGTATATCACACGTCTCGTAAGACCTATTTATGTTAACAATGTGGGGCACCATCAATTTCACTATTCTTTGTGAAACTGCCATTTAGCGAGTCGGTACGGCAATTTGCAGATCATTAACATAGTTCTTTGTCATGCTGCATGCATTGATATATGCACATACATCTCTCATGTTAGACTGATTATGCCGTTATTCACGCGATGGTGGGCTCAGGTCAACGCATAGGTCAAATTGCTTCCCCCCTCACCATCCACCCGCCTGAAGGGTATTCCATTGGCCATCCGAACGCGCGTTGAAGACTGCCCTTTCCATTAGAGGCGATAAACTGAAGCTGATGATTGGAGGATGAAGCACTGGTGGAGCTGATAACGACAAATAGTCATGAATCGTCTGTAGCATAACATGTATACGACTAGATTCACAGACACCACACTTACGGCTAAATACGACAGCTTTACACGGCGGATTGTTGGTTTCTTGCAATCTCGCGGAAAGCGGACGCCCCACCAAAAAATTGCCGCCTTGCAAACCAATTTTTTTAACATGGCACAAGACACGTATTATGAAGACTATCCCAATGTGTGTCGGTAGCACGTGGAACAAAAACTTGCAAGTGGTACAGTTCTGTATGTCCCCATATCGGTGCCTGTTTGTGCTTTTGCCAGGAAGGTGATAGGCGCACCCAACGATTATTATAGATCTAACTACACGAAGAAAAAGTGTGATCTTAAGCTGACCACAGAATGCACCGGGAGTGTAACACAACCTTGCTGTTGTTACCGTCCTCTCACAACATATTTCCAAGAAAACAACAAGACTAGCAACATCTCACAGCTGCTCATGCTCAGCCCGTTTTTCTTCAAATCCGGATGTTACAGGTGTATGCCGTCCTATGAAAAGCCGCAAAATTCCGTTGCCAAGTGGCAAACAGTTTACAAGCATGCACTTCAATGCTGTATCTACAGTAATCCGAAAAGCGAATACTTGAGCCGTTTGAAAGAAGCGTCGCAGTGGTATTTTGTACTTGCCAATAAGCGTCGCAGCGGTATTTTGTATTTGCCAATAAACGTCGCAGCGGTATTTTGTGCTTGCCAATAAGCGTCCCAGCGGTATTTTGTATTTGCCAATAAGCGTCGCAGCGGTATTTTGTATTTGCCAATAAACGTCACAGCGGTATTTTGTGCTTGCCAATAAGCGCCGCAGCGGTATTTTGTATTTGCCTAATAAACGTCGCAGCGGTATTTTGTGCTTGCCAATAAGCGCCGCAGCGGTATTTTGTACTTGCCAATAAACGTCGCAGCGGTATTTTGTACTTGCCAATAAGCGTCACAGCGGTATTTTGTACTTGCCAATAAACGTCGCAGCGGTATTTTGTGCTTGCCAATAAACGTCGCAGCGGTATTTTGTGCTTGCCAATAAGCGCCGCAGCGGTTTTTTGTACGTGGCAATAACTAAACATCTGGCATTGAGCGAAGGGCTACAACACAGCACAATGGCACTTGTACTCCGATCATGCACTGTGATGCTTCTATCCACCTCCAGGGGCTCCCCAGATCAGTGCCATTTGCAGGATATACGGGGTTAGGAGTCGTATGGTTGGTACAGCGTTGTAATGCGTGTGGATCATATCTCCTGCTCTCCTCACATTGGTGCATTTGTAAGTGCTCCTGAGGTCTGCTATTCTTGCCTTTGCAACACTAGGGCTCTGCTGGGATATCACATGTACTTCGCATCAACTACACAGGTTATTCGTAATTATTTTATTACTATCGGTTAATATCGAATATATGGCCGGTAATAAGCCAACCGCTATCATATTTGTAACTAAACACTTACTCGCCGTAATCAGCATCTGTTCGCGATGTTACTGCCCTCTCCGACGATCCCATTCATTCTCTATGACAATCCAGTGTCCAGTGATATTGAGGTGTAACAACGTTAATTTGGCTTGCAAAACATATTTGTGAATTACCAACGTATGGCATAGCTCGTGCTTCAGACCATGTGTTTGGTGCTAATTTCAGACCAAGTGCAGCCTACGCTGAACACACCCAGACCGGGTGACTTTGCCGCAACCGTGCGGCTGTCCCCGAAGGTGACGCCTTCTCCCATTCGGCCAACAAAAATCAAGAGCCTCCTCATCAGTGCACCTCAAAAGGTCGTCGATGCGATCCAGAATTTGAAGAAGAAGCCACTGCCCACGACTCCACCGCCCACGACTCCACCGCCCACGACTCCACCGCCCACGACTCCACCGCCCACGACGCCACCGCCCACGACTCCGCCGCCCACGACTCCGCCGCCCACGACTCCGCCGCCCACGACTCCGCCGCCCACGACTCCACCGCCAACGACTCCGCCGCCCACGACTCCGCCGCCCACGACTCCGCCGCCCACGACTCCGCCGCCCACGACTCCACCGCCCACAACATACCCACCCACGACGTACCCACCACTCCCAACGCCCGAACCGACGTGTCCGTCGGCCGTTTACGCCCTTGTCACCTCCACTCGGTTCTCGTACGTCACGTCCACGTACCAGGTGCGCAGCGCCCGCCAGACTGTGGAGTCGCGGTACATCACCTCGACGCTGGTGCTGGCCTCGCCTTCCACCGTAACTGTGCACATGACCCGGCACCGGCCCCGGACGCTGATCTCCGCTCTGGAGGTGCTCACCGCCACAGACTACCAGGTGAGTACCTCGGGTGAGGTAGGACCGCCTGGTAGGCCGAAGACTATCCATCGGAGCGAGGCTGTGTCGAGACCCATTGGCAGGCAGCACTGGTAGTTATTCTGTAGCACACCCTCGGCTGTGCGAATGCGTTGATTATGGCCATTTCATTTCATGCACTTTTGTTAGTACCAGAAAAATAACGAGATGGGCATTTTTAAACCGATTGATGTTGTTATTTGATGCGCCTATCTTTGCCCATTTTGCCTGTTATACGCTATTTTGCACTGTATATCCCGTTTTGCTGCGCCCGCCGACCGCATTGCTCTGTGAGCGCAGCTGGTCGTGCGTGACCTGCCGGAGACTCACTACCGCACCGTCACCGACCACGTCTACTTCACCGACACGGTCAACAACCACGTGAGGGTGACGGTGACCGTGCCGCGTCCCACCACTGTCACCGAGCTCACCACCGTCTTCAACTCTTACCACGAGACCAACCCGCGTGTCACCATCGTCACGCGGCTGAAGACGGCCACCAGGACCGAGGTCAGCACGCGCACGGAGTACGCGGTCACCACGGCACTGGTGACGGAACGGCGCACGCTGCGCACCACCCACACCAGTGACGTCACTACCACGCTGCCGGCCGCCACCGTCACGAGCACCCTGCTGTTCTGCCCGGCCACCTCCGCGGGATACGGCTCCAGCTCTGGCTCCGGCTCCGGCTCCAGCTACGGCTTCAGCTCCGGCTCCAGCTCTGGCTCCGACTCCGGCTCCAGCTACGGCTTCAGCTCTGCTCAGCCTGGATTCAGCGGAGGGCCGAGTGACGACGGTGCCGGACTGCTGGATGTCAGGTTCGGCGAGCGGCGTAGAGATGGGTCTGGTGACGTGCGCTTTGCAAAACACGGTCAGGGCTCGGGGGATGTCGGTTATAAGCATGTTGCGCGGGATTCGCATGGAGTTGATGCCGCAGAGCAAGAACAAGCTTTCGAAGACACGAATAACCGCGGTGGGGCACAAGGTCTTGATCAGTTTGAGCTTCAGAAAGGCACTGAATATAATCAGCCTTTTCATTTCCAACCAACGCATTGACACCGATGTGGCAAGGTCTGAACACGGTCAGGGATACGTGATAGGCTGATAACTGCCACTTGAATTAGCTGGGAGCAATGGTGCACGGTATTGCGTTGTACCTCATTTTGTAATGACCTTCACCACCGCACAGCGCAATGGCGACCATCCAGTGTTAAGAGTTCGCACGGCACGACCAGGGATAGGGTGAGATGATGAGAGCGGCGCAGTGTTGTGGACTGTGAGCTCCTTGATGGAGGAGGAAACCACCATGAGTGGAGGAGGAGAGAGGCGATGATCACCATGTGCCGACTGGCTGGCTAGTGGAGAGACTGTGTCGGAGGCCCCGAAAGCCACCAACTGCCATGCGTGTGGGCGGTGCGTAGGCGCGTGCCGGACGGCAGCTGAACTTTATTTGTGTCTGCCACCCCACAGCTGTAACAGGCACAGACCAACCTGCTAAGACTGTAACTTTGCGGCACTGCTCTTTATAGCATAACTCATTTGAAAGTAAACTGTTGGCCCAATAACATTTTTCGCAGCATAATCTTCTTTTTTGGAAGATGCAAGGCTGGATGTTCCCCAGTAGGCGAAATGAGACTTGAAACATCTGAGCGAATGCCACGTGTGCCAAATCTTGGCAGATATTGAAAACTGGTGAACTGCGTACTACGAGATGTACGGCAAGACACGCATGGAACCGCTGGCATTGTGATAGATATGACTTCGTACATAGTTGTGGCTTCACGAAATGCATTTGGGGGCTGCCGAGGGTAAGTAACCAAAACTCCTCTAGATGTGTTGAGGAAATGGTTTGTCACTGCATTTTGCTACTTTTGTCTTGTTCAGTGTGGGATTCACTGGCACTCCACAATGATAACAATTTACACCCTCGACTTCATATGCCAGTGGATATTAATAAGGAAAGTGTACTCATATTTTGCTGTGGTGCCAGGTATGCGCATTCCGTGGTATCGAGCTTTGGGCGCAGGAATCTGTAAATTTTTCATTTCCAGCTACCAATGTGAAGAGGGCAATAAATTGCACGCATGGCTTACCTGCGAGTTCCGCGTCCCAGTTACAATACTATTTGCCGAGTTGCCGTAAATAGCTAGGAAGAATGGTAAATGCAGGAGTTTTATATCCCTGATACTCTACATATTCAGCAAGCGTGTTGAGCCAGCTTTCAGCGATTTGGGTAGACAAGCCTGTTTGGAGGAATCATCTTTTAGCTAGTCAGTACGGCGCCAGAAGTGACTCACCGGTCCAGAAGTGGGACGCGTTTCCTGAGCGCTCACGGGCTATTATTATAACAAGGCGTGCAGGGGCACTTTCACAGAAACTTTTCACATGACTCACGACAGCCCGCCACAAATGACATGCAGAATACACAAAAATGAGAAATACTTGTTTGTTCTCTGACTGCCTTCTCGGACACAAGGTGTGCTCTGGTTTTGCTTTTATCCTGGTCTCGTTAGCTTGTGTCATGATCCCATCAATCGTGGCTACTGGGCCAGGCACGTCGGCTTGGTGACGTCACAATGCCGTTCCAGCCGGTCTAGCGCATCCTCATTCAGAGATACGGCAGCCAGTGGGTCTCATCCAGTCAACAGCCATTCTCGTCCTTCCGCCCGTACCGGTGAGATCGTCTACCCTCATGATAGCAAACTGCCCATGCAGTTGTATCTATGTGCATTTAAGGAAGAAGCGGATTCATGAGGTTGCTCGAGCCTGCATGACTGCGGCGTTCAGATTGCACCAGGCGCCGCCTCTCTGTTGTTGCCTTGTCAAAGGTCACGGCTATCTGGTCTCTGATTGTAGAGGACTACGGCCATCCAGAGGCGCAGCCAAGGTGGCACAGGGGGCTTTAGTCCCATCGCCCCCACCCCTTCCTCTTCAGGACCGAACCCAGCGTTTCATCCCGGCGTTATCGAAAATAGTTTCGTGATTTGGTTGTCAGGACAACCATTTCGGCCATTGACAACCATGAACAGTCATTCAGTGACGAGCTCAGCGAGTAGCCAGGTGTAAATGTGCTGTAAGCAGCTGAGACAAGGTTTTCCCAGCTGGGACAAATTAAGCCTTTTTATGCGGTAGGTACCGAGCCTGTCAACACTTCAGGCGTCTGCGGTACGTTTGCAATGCGTTAGTACTGCGTGTGAGGCTGGTGGTCGGTCGCACACAATCTACGATCAATAATCTACCATATTAATCACTGAAACTGTGGCTTCTGAATTCGAAGGGCTTGGATTGTGCAAGAACGTTTATATTTAATAAAAAGACATGCCCTACAATTTTGTACCGATTGAGTTTCAAGCGGGCTTGTATGCTTTGTTCGCACGCAGGAGTAATAGGTGAGAAGTCTGATTTAGACATAAAATCGCCGAAACATACCAAACAATGATACCAAAATAAAAGAAAACGCTACAATAGGCTACAATGAAATATTCATCGCACTTCGCAAAAAAACCCATCGTGAATCGCATAAACGTATTTCAAAGAAAGAGAAATGATAATGGAACGTGCTGACGGTATTGTTCATGTGTTGATAAATAGCTAAGCGAAGGACATAATACAGCTTAAAGAAAGATTAAGCCTTTCGCATGTGTGATTTGGGATGATGGCGGAAACCTGAGTCAAAACCAGCGAAAGCCGGTTCGAAACCAGTGATCATGGTGAGGATCAGTGAACGCAGCGAAGGCTTATGACCGAGTCAGTGTCAGCGAGTGCAGAAGCCTCTGTGACCGTGGCGTGTGCCGGTGGCTGTGGTCGGTGTCAGTCGGAGAGAGGGCGGCGGCGGGCCGCCCTGCCCGCCCACCGGGCCAGGCCGCATTCCTCGACGTCAGCCGGTGTCGGTCGAGCCCGGCGCCGTCCGCCCGTCAGCGGCGCGCGACACGCGGCTGTCCCCCTGGCCGACGGCCGGCCGGCGTCGCCGACGTTGGCCGCACGCCCGCCGCCGCGGCGGCGGTGACAGTGCGCGCCCGGCCCGCCAGTAACGGCAGCGGCGCGAGCCGGCACACGGCCCGGTACGCGGTGACACACGGCCACCGGCGGCGGCCCGCTCCGGTGAGTCAGGCGAGGCGCCCCCGGCCGCCGCCGCTGGAGGCAGCGACAACGCCGGCCGAGGTGAGCGGGCGGCGCTCGGCCGCGGCCAATGACGCGCGGTGCGGGCGATGTTTGTTGGCGGCTCAGGTACAGCAGCGGCTTGGGAGCTGGTGTGATCGAGTGTGGGGTGGTGAGGCGCACTGTGGAGCAGTAGGATATGCTATTTCAACACCGCTGGATCCCTGTGTGGTTGCTTTTGGGGTGTTCTGATGATGGAGGTCAAACGCAGGACCAGCCGGACTCTGAAAGTGCGGTTTCGTGAGCCTATGTAAGGTGCCACGTGCATTCGGAGGTGTTTTAACCCGGGTGAATCGACAGGGTTGGGATGTATACGTCCTGCGTTGTCTTGCTGGTCAGCGAGCGCCGTCAGTCACAGTGCAGCTGGTGATAAATGACCGAAGATGCCCGTTAGCCGGAGTCTTGTTTCGTATTTTCTCTCCCTGCCGCATCTGTGCAAGCACTGATGAATGCGAGCACACCAATCCATTATTGCGCTCAATACATTATTGCAATACATCATTACTCGTTCCCCAAACCTTGATAACACGGCCGGCCATTACATACATTAATACTCAGGTCAGGCATGATAAACACATGGCCGCAGTACGGACATATGTTCCTGTAATCGGCTAATGGGCAGGTGTAATCTCATGCATGCACGCGATAAGCGGGGCCAACACCATACGTCAGATTATAATTTGACCACTGTTACCGCTATCGGGACTACAGTCGCAAGACTCACACTGGGCGTGCCTGGTGAAATGCCTTTCGTGATGTGCGGCATAATAGCCCGGCTCTCACAGTCCTGGCCATTTGCTCACTTACGGTCGAGCGTCCTGAACGAGCGCCCTGAACAATGTTGCTTGCAGATAAATGCCGCACCACCATTTGCCAGCACATTCAACTGCTCATGCTGGGGAAACGGATGGCATGCACCTGTGGCCAGCATATCACAAATATTGAAACAACGGCAGCCTTGTCTTAATCTTGCCACTGGAGTTAAACCCAATGGAAACTGCTCCAGCATGTTTGTGAGAGCGTGCTTGTGCGTGTGCGTGGGTGTAAAAAGCGGGGGCGAAGGTGCGGTACCGCACATATCCCATAGCGGTCATCAGTGTCCACGCTTGTTTACACTACCGTATGGGCGTGTGCGTCCCGTCTGCAGCACATCAGTTGCCGGGGTTTGGCAGGGGCACAGTGGGGCGCTTGACTACAGACGGCTGGCCATTTGTTCACGGTGCGGCGACGATGCAGTCCTACTTGTAACCCTTTCTACGTGCCACTTGGCGACCGCGACCGTCCCAGCTGCCGGCGGCCCTGTCCTGCATTCGGTGACCTGTGCCACGTGCCACTTGGCGCGACCGTCCCAGCCGCCGGAGGTGGATCCATCACTGTCACAGATGACACCATCACCACTGTCGGGACCCGTCTCATCGCGACGCTGAAGAACAAACTCATCGTCCGTTAGCTAATCTGGCTTCAACGGTCGCTCCTACATCACCAGTCAGTTAATCTGGCTTCGCCCCTACAGATAATGATAGATAGGCTATATAGTTGCCAGCTGAATCTACTTTGCACCAAATCGCATGCATGATCAGAATGCACAAAAAAATGCCTGCACAAAGCGTGCACTCTCCCTGTGATATGCAAAAGCCTTCGTCAGAATTCTTATGATCTGTCTTCGCTCTGCCTCTTCCATATCCTTCGAAATTTAAGGGGAACTGAGGAAGTCTTGGTTTAGTGCTACCACCGTGGAGCTATGACGCAGCGGTCAGCCGTGATCACAGCCGCGAGCATGTTGACTCGAGATCCACCTTCAGATGGGTGGCGGTGGTTTGCTACAATCGACATGAGCGATGGCCATCATAATGGCCCCAGTGCTTTGCTGAGGAAATAGACAACTCAAATAAACAGCCTGGATTACAAATGGCTGTGAGTGGTGCGTGTAGGTTTGTTGTCAGTCTAGTCAGAACGCATTTTTGTCTTGCCAAGCGGCACAGATGAGCCGGTCCTGCGAGCTGGCCAATGATCTGCAGCCGTTCTCTTGGCATACATCGCAGCTCACAGCGTGTAGTCCAGAGTTTGACAGGCGCAGGCCTGGTCCCACCAGCGGCCGCCCCCGCAGCATCGCCTGGCAGGGCCCCAGAAGGACTCCGCTGTCGAAACAGCCTCCGACAAATCCTGTCGGCCTGAATGGAATCGGCTGGCCGTGTCGGATGTGGACGGGGGACCGAGCCCCGCGGCTGCCAAACGGCCGGTCGTCCCCCTCCCCCACCCCCAGGGAGCGAACAGAACGAAGCGTCGCCATCCACGCTAGGCCAGTAGCGGCGCGGCGCGCGCGGAACGGCGGTGACCGCGGCGCGCTCAGAACCGAGTGATCGCGGCGCACTCGGAACAGCAGCGACCACGGCGCTCTCAGAATCGAGTGAACGCGGTGCGCGTGAAACGGCAGTGACCACGGCGCACGTGGGACAGCAGTGACCGCGGCGAGCGTGCAACGGCAGTGAAGGCGGCGCGCGAGGAACGGCAGTGACCACGGCGCGTGAGCGCGCGCGGGCGGGCTCAGCGCCCGTGCCGTGGCTGGCACCACGCTGCCACAGCATTGAGGCAGGCCAGCAAAACCTAGGTTGCCAGGGTCCGTGACGGCGTAGCCCGTCCGACAGCGCCGCACACGCTCGGCACGCTCCGCCGAGGTGAGCCGGACCACCTGGACAGCCGGAGAGCGTGTTTTGTGTGTGGTGACAAATGTCCCGTCTGGTTGTATGGCACGCTTTACCATTCAGCTAATGAGGGACACACCCCGCTAACGCTAAGCTTTTCACAGACGCACGGCAGTATGGGTCAAAACGACTGGCGCGTGCAACCTGACAACACCATTCAGGTTGTTGACCCTAAATCACCACAGAGGAAGGTAAGCTGCCATACATCTGATGTTTGTGTGCTGAGTTCTTTACCATTTCGAAACATTTGACCAGTCTGCTATCGTAAGGCAGAGCTTGCTTTACTTTGCAAGAATATCTCTTTTGACAAAAGCGTGTTATTGTGTGCTTTATGTGCTGTACTTTTTGCACACACGTTTTCATTTGGTTTGTGAATAACCATGTCTGGGAAAGCACTGATATTTGGAACAGCACATAAAGATATTGCCATTTAGGACGTCGGAATGCCAGACGATAAATATGCGCATGGTGTGATGCTAGGGAATAGCCCATATTAATCATGATTGTGCTAATGTGTGTATAGTTTGGTAAGTAATTTTCATCCCATGCAGCTCAGATAAGCCCAGATTTTGTTCTATTGTGAATCACTTGCGTATACACTCCTACACCATTATGGTGCGTTCAATAGAAGCATCTTTGAAACTAAACAACTGCGGAACGGCTGCAAGGCCTCTCAAGTTTTTGTTATCGCGTTTCTGGGAGAACCAGAGCATCGTCGCAGCTCTGCTCCCACATTTTTGCTTGTCAGTTGTTTGGCGATGTTTCAGCTGAATGTGACTGGATTAGCGTCGGGTTCATGGCCACCTGCGAAAACGTAGCGTTGAGATAATGTGCCATGGGGCCTCTGTCCACGTACCGCCTAGTGCTAATAACAGACTACATCCGCACATCTGCCCCCCCCCCCCCCCCGGATCACCGCTAGAGCGGTGACCGGCCTGGCTCGGATCGGCGCGTGACCTATGACCGGTCGGCTGACCTGTGGTGGGTGTGGCGCGACACTCCGGGCTGGGCCGGACCCCTGTCTACTACCATTAATTGGCGGCGGTGGTGCGTGCTAGAGGTCGTCACAGCACCGCACGATCCTGCCAGCTTTGAGGCCAATAATGCGGCTGAGGGACGCCACCGATTGCTGCCCTGGCAGAACGGTCAATTAATGACCCCGGCAGACTGATGGGCTCGCAAAAATGTAGTCTCCGCCCGCCAGCCATACCTCTCCTCAATCTTTAGCCGTGCGAAACCATACCTCTTCTCAGTTCTCAGCCGTGCAAAACCCTTTAGTGAGCCTGTGTTGTTTGTAATATTGTGCAATATGAATCTAGATAACTACGAATGTGAATGGTGAATATGAATGGGAATAATAAGGAAGTCATGCGAATTAAGATGCATGATGTGAATGCACATGGCTTATATGAGGGAGATGTGGAAGGTCTGCTGTACTACCCATCCCAATCAGCTGCCCATAAGGCCGATAACTTCTTTGCGTTAGGCCGGACTGAGGCTGCCAGGAAGGTCGATGACTCCTTGGCGTTAGACTGGACTGAGGCTGTCAAGAAGACCGATAACTGCTTGGCGTTAGGCCGGCTGAGAAGGTGTTTCGTCATCCCATGAGAACAAAACATCTCCTACTGGCCCGAGAAGCAGCCGATCAGCTGCACGTTGACTTGAGGGCTGGGAGATCATGTGATGCCTTGAGATCGCCGCGGACGGGGGTTTGTTTCGAAGGATAAGGCTCTATCCCGATGGACTCCCGACAGCAGCTGTCATGGTGACTTGTTTACGGATCCAGTGGCATACCTTCATATGTCCTTTTTGTTTTTGTTTTTGGGCGGCTAGTTCTACGATTTAGTGCGGTGCAGTTATCAATGTCAAATTTGGTGCTTTTAGGGCGTTCTTCTTTGTTTCCCCGATGCGCGGGACACCGCCTCTGTTCTCTTGAGGCAAGAGTTCGTGTGACCCTCCCCAGCCCCCTTCCCCTCCCGGCTGGCTTTCAGATAGCGCACCGCCCATTAGGCTTATTGGTTGGACGAGGAAAATATGATAGTTGCCTGCTGACGGAGCGCAAGGCTCTCGCCAGTTCTGAGATAGCATTGTGTGGTAGGCATACTTTTGAAAACATATACCTAGGCTCGAGACACGTCATCCAGGATGCACACCTTAAGCAGTTCCTTCCGATCCTGATGGTCATCCTTCGGATTCACTTTGGCTCCCAGGCGGGCCAAGTTTCGCCTCCCTCCCCCTCTCCCGTCTCGTGAGGAGATGTCAGTCCGGACTTGCCGCCGCTGGCGCCACCGCAGGGCCTGGTGACCGGGGTCGAGGAGCCGCGCAAGAACTACCGCGGCATGTTCATCGCCTGGCTGATCATCTTTCTGGTGCTGCTGGCTGTGGTCATCAGTGTAGCCATCATCGGCGTGCGCGACCCGCGTTACGTGCTGATCGGGCGCCGCCTGCGGGTGCAGGACGTGCTGGAGCACAGCTTCAGGGCGTCGCCCTTCTTCGCCGCCTGGCGAGGTGCGTTGCCGCCCTGCTGGGCTGGGCGGGCTCCGGATCAGGCTGGGCCGGGCTCTGAGTCAGGCTGGGCCGGGCTCTGGGTCAGGCTGGGCCTGGCTCTGGGTCGGGCTGGGCCGGGCTCTGGGTCTGGCCGGGCGGGCTCTGGGTCAGGCTGGGCGGCTGGGTCAGGCTGGGCGGCTCTGGTCAGCTGGGCCGGGCTCGGGTCAGGTGGGCGGGCTCTGGGTCAGGCTTGGGCGGGCTCCGGTAGGCTGGGCCGGGCTCTGGGTCAGGCTGGGCGGGCTCGGGTCAGGCTGGGCCGGGCTCTGGGTCTGGCCGGGCGGGCTCTGGGTCAGGCTGGGCGGGCTCCGGGTCAGGCTGGGCCGGGCTCTGGTCAGGGCTTTGGGTCAGGCTGGGCGGGCTCCGGGTCAGGTTGGGCCGGGTTCTGGATGAGGCTGGGCTGGGCTCTAGGTCAGACTTGGCCGGACTGGAGGGACTGGACAGGCCCTGGATCGGACTGGATTGGGCCTGGACCGGGCTGGATGGGCTCCTGGTTCGGCCAGATAGGGTTGGGCGGGCCCTTGGTCGGGCCGGGTGGGCTTTGGGTCGGGCCAGGCGAACTCTGGGCCGGGCAGGCTCTGGGATGAGCCTGGGGTCGGGCAGCGTGGGCCCTGAGTCGGGCGCTGGGTCTGCTTGGGGTGGGGCCAGCTTGAGCAGCGCAGCGGTGGCTGAGGGAATAGTGGCGCCGTATGTTCGTAAACGGTGGTTTCTGCACGATTTCTGCATGTTTTGATGTTATGCAAAGAAGGTTTTGTCGGTATCAGTTTCCACTTCGCTTTGAAATTTCGCGGGTGCTACTTCGCTGTCATGGTCAAGAGCTATAAGCAATGAACGTTGACTTTAAGGCCCTCTAATATCTTAAAATAGCGTACTGCTAACGGATATTCTGAAAGCTTGTGCTCTTTTCCTTGAATGATTAAGTAAGGCCAGAAAAGTGTAGAAATTTCAACTTTTCAGGTAACGTGCTGGTGTACAAAGACTCTACCGGGGCCCTTATGCAATACGATGTTATGAAGAACAGCTCCAAAGTGCTATTCCAGCTACCACAGAAGGCAAGTCGCATCACCCAGACTTTCTACGCAGTTGAATTTTTATTGTCCTGTGATACGCACTACTAGTGATGTAACATTATTCAAAGCACACGTAATCAGAAACTTCTCCGGCTTTAGAGGCCATGAAAGTTTGACGATGCTGCGGCACATGGTATGGCAGTCATTCTTCGCATGAAGTTTCCTGGTTTCAGAAATTAATTGCCGCAATATTCTTGCAGGAGCAGGTGTGGCATATCGACACGTTGCTTTCGTCCGATGGAAGATACGTGCTCGAGAGAAGAAAGATCAAGCATGTGAGTGAAGGATCGCACGTTGAGCATGCACGTAGCACGTTTTCGGCTCATCTGTTTACAGTTCTTTATGATGCACACTGCAGCTCATGACGCACGCTTCCTCCACCACAGACAATGCAATCTCTCAAGCTACTGTGTGAAACAAGGCATCTCTTCGGAGGGCTATATCCCCCTCCCGTCCCTTTATACTGATCTCTCTCCCCTTACCACTTGACCGAATTTCTCCAAATCGCGCAATCTGCAAAACCTACCGTGTTTGGGGAGTTATCTTTTCTTTTGCCACCGCAACGAGTTCCTAAGCAGATGTGGCTGCCGCAGTTAAGGCTGTCGTTTTTCAGAAGGTTTTCCTCCAACTGAATTTTAAATTGTTGTCCAATAATGGTCTTGGTCCAATAATGGTCTCTGATGATTCTTGTCTCGCTTTCTTGTCTGATGCTTGTATCAACACCCTACCATCATTTTAACACGATGTGCCGTTTCGTGAGGTACGACCTCGGTCTCCCTGCCGATGACCACGACATACTCTGTCGGTAGGGACTGAGGGGCGCCATCGAGGCCCAGTACTCCTTGCACGACGTTTATGACGGGTAAGTCTGCATCTGAAGTGTCACAGCGGCATCGCGATAAGCCGTCAGGAAACCAAATACACTGCCAAATGACGAACTCCTGGCCACGTCTTAGGTTGATAAAATTCATGAGCCACCCATAACCTGGGCACTTCACTACCACACGCTATGCTACCAAGCACCGCACCATAAACGACTGTCACCGAAACAGTTGATTCATGAATGACACACGAAACGAATACCAATTAAACGTTTTATGGTTACGCCGGAAAATGTTTTTGATCTTGTTTACAGTATATCAAATTCTTACGGTCCACTTATGGGTGCTATTTATAAACATGGAATAATTAATTTCCGCTTTTGTGAGTATATGGCATAGTCACCATAAGCAGGGGCGCGCTCACGTAGCCTCACCCGGGAGGACGTGCCCCCATCCCTCATCAAGTTAAGTAAATGACAAAAAAATGCATGGAGAAGTGTTGACGATAGCCAAATTTGGGCATAGACAAGTAAAACTCTTGAGATCGGGGGCATGATATCTTGTTTACATTATGCGCAAAATACGTGCTCCTGCGAGAGAGTGGGTCCGGGGGCAAGGGAGTCGTGCCCCCTCCAAGGCCATGAAACCATAATTAGGCCCCAAAAACTGCTGGACATATGCCTATCATGTGCATGCTACGTTATGTTTTTTTCCTACTATTGGGACAGTCAACTGCGTCAACAGACAACGCGTAGCCATAGCTTATGACAGTTGCGTCCCTAACATGGGTAGTTCATTACTGGTGGACGGTTAACCCGTGATCACATTAACATTTCGAGAAGTGGACTTAACCCGTCATTCCGTTGATTAGGTCCCAAATGACGCGTTAATCTTATCATCTTGCCCAGTTTTCCGGTCACATATTGTCCTGCTCCCCGCACACAGCTGTTCTATGCGTGACACAGCGTCCAGAGCTCAGGTACAACCCCGGAGGTATTGCCTTACATTCTATATATATATATATATATATATATATATATATATATATATGCATGTTTGTGTGTGTGCATGCGTGTGTGTGTGTCGGGGTGTGCGTGTTAGGGCCACTAGGAATTTAAATGACATCGTACAAAAACGGTTTGCCTCGACCCCAAAAAAAGAAACCTAGATCAACCCCTGCTCCTGTGGCTACCTACATGCATTGCATTTTTATTGAATATCTTTGCGCTGCGCTCTTCCCTGCCTATCCCACAGTATTGCGTGTGCCGCAGGCCATCGGTCAAACCAGGTAATTATGTGCCAAAGGAGTGCGAAATGACTATCTTATTTGATCTATCCCACGAAAGACAGCAATTCCGACAGCATTCCTGCTCACGCAACGTTTAGCAGGGAGGGAGTAACTTTAAATGTATTTCTTTTCATGCAATTCCATGGGCTACAAATGCAAAAATTTATTAAGTTGTGATGGTGATTCAATTATCCAATACATTATCTTGAAGCTAATAACCATATGCATTTTGTTAGCACACAAAATTTAAGGCGCAGTGCCTCTTTTAAAGCAGACATTAGTCATATTCATGTTGTCGGTGCTCGCGGTCTTCTGTTGTTTTTTTTTCTCAAAACGGAGGTTGATACCGCAATAGATGCATGTGTTTGGGTGTGAATTGAAAAAAACTCGCTCACTCGATCTTACAGTTGCACCCGGGGTCGTACGTCAGTTGAATGATTGCAGCTATAAAGGCATTGCACTTCCCGGTACTTAGTGTGTTGCGAAATTTGTGATGAGCTGATGCCATGAGGACATAAACTCACACCATTGGTCGTTGACATCCCTCGTCATGCCCTCGACGTTTGATATTCATATCTTGTGAGTCAGCAAAATATTTCTTATCGCTAAAGCGTGACATTTTACCACGGATTGGTATGGCGCCAAAGAAAAAGAAAAAGACCAAGGCGAAGCATGTCTCAAAGAAAAAAGCTGAAGCCAAGCGAAAACCTCAAAAGGCAGGCGGACAGAAAAAGACTGGGAAGAAAAGGAAGAAAGCCCATCAAAAGAAGAAGTTATCAAACGCCTGGAACAGGCTACCCTGGGATCCGTTTCCAATGTTTCCACATGAAGTTGAGAAAGTGAACAGAATAAACAAAAACATTCTTTTAGTGATCACCTGCATACTTTTGTGTGTTAGCATCGGTGTAATATGTTTGGCAGCTTATCTTATAGAGAAAAGGAAAAGAAACGAAGAGCTGGTGTCGGCAGTCAGCTTTTCTAACTATTGGCTAAACGCTTCACTGGTGCTTCTTTCTATCGGCTTAGTTTCCGCTATCATAAACTTCTGCGGCTTTGTAGGCGTGTTGCGAGAAAACATTGTGCTGATCCGTGTGTTCTACATTACGCTGATCGTGTTGCTCACGTTGAAGCTGAGCGGCGCAGTGTTCCTGTTCGTTTTTGCCGACTTCTCGCGGCCGTTGCTGGAGAACATGCTGGCCGATCAGGCGGTGGCCGACTATCGCGTCAGCAGTGACGTCGAGACGCTGATGGACTACCTGCAGGCCGGCTTCGGCTGCTGCGGCCTGCGAGACGATGGCTTCCAAGAGTGGTCTCGCAGTGTCTACTTCAACTGCTCGGAGGCGAACCCCAGCCCGGAGCGGTGTGGCGTGCCCTGGTCCTGCTGCCGCAATGGCACCGGCCTGCAGAACGCCCTCTGCGGCCACCACGTGCAGAAGCTGGACCGCAACATCGCCAGCAGGAGCATCTATACGAGGGGCTGTGTCCGCGCCATACAGGTGTGGGCGGGTCGGCACGCCATAGCCGTCGGCCTGTTGGTCCTGCTGGAGGTGGTCTGCCTCACGGTGGTGATCTTCCAGTGCACACACCTGGTGAACGAGCTGCAGATGATGACTAGAGTGTACCGTGGTCCCTGGTGGGAGTGGATCGGCAAGAAGCGGCCACCGCCCCGCCCTCCCGGCACGCCGCCGACGCCGACCGAGCTGCCGCACGTGGTCCAGATCGGCCGGGGCCCGGCCGTGATGGATGCCCGTCGAGTGCGGTGGCCCACCCCGGCTCGTCCCAAGCGGCCGCGCAAGGTCACCGTCGTCCAGGTCGACGAAGCCCCCCAGGCGCAGGTAACGGCGGACGAAGTCTTCCCTACGTCCTTCAAGGGCGCGGCACCAGTCGACAAGGCGGAGACTGAGCTCTCCGAGCTGGCTGAGGCCGCCATGGCATTCCTGTCAGATGCGTCGGAAGCCTCGTACTTTTGCCACGAGGTTTCTTCTGACACGACTAACGGCGACCAGCAAACCGAGGGCAGCGACGTTTAATCTACTTGTTGCCTGCCGTCTACGCTTAGTGTTTACTCGCAGTGGACTAAGCACTTTATTTTCATCATGCTTCTCCACGAGGAATAATTTCGTGTGAACGCGCTGAGTACGGTTTTACTTTTCCATCTTTTTGCAAGACCTGTTGTATCAAAGAATTTGCTCCCGCTCTGAAAACCTCTTTCATCGTGGTTTCTGGCACTAAACTGGTGTCCTTCAACTTCTCAGTGGACACAAGCGCCGACGAGGACCATTCGCGTGCAGTCTTACGACCATGGTCAACCCGGCGACCTTGACACGGGGCGCTTCCTTCCGGAGGGTGACGGTCGCGGCCCATCAGAAGAGAGGACCGCAGAAAACTAGCCTGAGGGTGCTCTTGAAAGAAGAAGCTTTGCTTGCAAACATGAAACAGATTGTGCGAGACGCAGAGCGGACGATGGGTGAGGAAGAGATGGAAAGACCGCTCCGAAGATAAGAGATGGCGTGACGTGACGGCCGTGGGACCCAGTGCAATGTGATTCAATGTGCACTTGGCGTTGGCAGCCGCCTTCACTGGCCACAGGCGGCAGCCACGCACAGCGAGCTGTATATTGGTGTTAACGGAACCTTGTAAGAGATTTGACATTGCAATAAAGGGCCGTGTATTGCAATACAATATATGCTGCACACTCATCTCCTCTAACTGCGTTGTCGAGACAGTTGGTGGTCCATGCCCAAATGGTTCTCCCTTGAACACCTGAAGGCGTGATTTTGAATGTCGAACGTAACTCATGCGCCAGTTTCGTGTCGGGTGAAGTAACTGCAAGTCGCATTTATCAGCTGAGCCCATACCGGTGTGACACCACTGACGCCCACCGTCCGGCAGTCACCAGTTCCCGGTGCTGCTGTCCCGGGACAGCCTGGAGGATCCGTACCTGCAGATGACGCTGTTTTCGCCGGGCCCCGCGCCGCCGCGGCTGGCCGTGGTGCACAGCGGCGACATCTACCTGCTCTCGGCAGTGGAGAGTCCGGAGGCGGTGCGCCTGACGGAGACGGTGGCCGACGGTCCCGCCGTGCTCAACGGCGTCACCAACTGGTGGTACAGGGGTACGCCGACAGGGGCGGGGAAGGGGGGGGGGGGGCGGACGGGCGTGCCGTGCTCCAAGGCGTCACCAACTGGTGGTACAGGGGTACGCCGACAGGGGCGGGTGCGGGGGGGGGGGGCGGGTGACAGTGGCAACTGAGAACGGAGTAGTCGCAGTGCAAGGTTTTGTGTTTCTCAGTGACGTCGGGAGATTCGTAAGCCCTAAATACACGATACTAAATTTAAGTTTATATGAACCGTTTTCTTAGGACAGTGGTGGTAGAAAGGTTATTTTCCTCAGCACCTGCGTTAGGTGACAGCCTTCTTAATCAGCTTTGATGCCGTCAAAACCTAAGTTTAATGTGCACTTGTGTTCAGAAGACGGCCACCCCGAAACGTTAGGCTTTGTGAGTACTCCCGGGTGTAATTATCGGCGTCTTAGCGTGAACGGGGATACATGTGTAGCAAACTGCATGGAAACGTAATCAGAGCTCCAAAACCATTGATGTTTTTGCCGCTTTTTGTGATTTTGGTGCCGTCGGTTTGAGACAGAAATGAAGTGACGGTACGTAAAAAATAAGTGGAGACAGCAAGAAAAAATCCGTCAAAGAGAAAACAGAGCTTCACCCATGACATGGAGACAGTGGAGGCGAATTGAGGTGTTTGGCAGGACATAATGAACCCATGAGATGCATGCGTGCTTTCGGCCAGCGTACTACGGCCGTCACGGGACTGTTCTGTCGGCCCCCAGAGACCTTACTGAACACACCCCAGGCGATGTGGTTTTCCCGGTCAGGCAACCAGCTGATGTTCGTGACCTTCAACGACACAGAGCTGGATACAGTCGACATTCTGAGCTACCGCAAAGGGGCTGATGCCGTCATACGCAAAATGGCCTATCCCAAGGTATGTGGAGCTAGACCTACTTGTCGCTGAAAATAAACGTTTTGAATTCGTCAAGGATTTTCCATCTCTGAACCACATTCTGTACAAAGTGTCATTGTGAATTGGTCGGACTATAACTGTCCATGAGGTCTGTCAGCATCATAGCGAGATGGTCTAACATGGTGATACAGTTTAAATGCTCCTGACTTCATGCATTATCCGCGCAGTGTGCTACCGGACTCCATTAATCAATAGTAAGGACGGTGCTACGTTGGTGGCATTGTTCCGTTTTTACCACAGTAACGTATGCAAGTAATTACGCGCTAGCAAGTAGGTTCTGTGCTCTGCCAGTGAATTTGCCAACATGTTCTATTTCCAGAGAAATGGGCCGTTAACGGCAATTTCGATCGCCGTCTGTCATGTGGAAAAAACGTTGGCAAACAAATCCCCAGAGATCACCCATCTTACCTCAGCATTCTTGGAAAGGTGAGTGTTCAACTCAACCCATCTGCTCGCCGTCCATAATCAGCTGATTGTCTGACAACGGCGCGTTCTGTTCTGTACACAAGCTGGGTGGACAGCTGAGTATACTGAGTATATCGGCACTGCATGCCGGGCTGTCCCGGCGTCCGTCCACGCACCGACCGCTCACTGCACCGTCTGTCTGGCGGCAGCCTTTGTCCAGTGATGTGTGTCTGGTAGCAGCCTGTGTCCGGTGATGTGTCTGGCGACAGCCTGTGTCCGGTGATGTGTGTCTGGCGGTAGCCTGTGTCCGGCGAGGTGTGTCTGGCCGTAGCCTGTGTCCGGCGAGGTGTGTCTGGCCGTAGCCTGTGTCCGGCGAGGTGTGTCTGGCCGTAGCCTGTGTCCGGTGATGTGTGCCAGAGGGACTCACTTCAACAGCTGATGTTCGTGCTCGACCTAGGCTTGCTCAGGCCGCGTCTGATCATCCTCTGCTTGTCGGCAGCCCGTACCTGAGTCGCATCCTTGCTTGATAGAGTTCACACCTCAGCGTCCCTTGGGTTTTCCGGCAGCTCGTACCTGACGGGGGTGCAGTGGGTGGACGAGGCGACGGTGGCGGTGACGTCGATGAGCCGTGCCCTGACCTCGGCCCAGGTCAGCCTCTGCACCGCGCCCGCCTGGCACTGCAGTGAGGTAAGGCTGATCTGGTGAGGCTTAAAAACTCCCGGTGCCACCGAGCCATGACCGGCAGCGGGCGTTGGGAGCCATTCCTCACTCACTCCCAGTTCCAAAATGGGCCGTCACTGAAAGACTGGTACTTTCTGGGGCTGACATCTGTCGCCTGCTTACAGAAATGGTTGGAAACGATGTTAAATCAAAGCAATTTTGTGCCTAGATAACATTGAAGATCTGCACAGAGGGTACCCGCCATGCTGAGCTGCTCACCTTGTAGAGGTTTCAATGGAATGGATAAATATGTGCCTTAATTCAGGACGTGGGTGTAAGAACAAAGGGGCAAGGGGGCCAGCCCCTCCCTTTCAAGGTGGACGGCGGAGCAGTAATATTGCCTCCCCACTTATTCAGATTATGTTGCGTTTAGCTTACTTTTGTTCTGCCTTGAACATGCGTGCCGATTTACTTAGTTCACCAGCTATCTTCCTCAAACCGCACTAAAAACAGTTGCTTCGTGTGATAAATGACAGCATCTTTCAGACGGAATGCGCCCCGCACTGGCATAGAATGGTCTTTCAGCCCTGGACCGTCAAGGATAATGTACCCCCTGATGTTCTACTCACGGGTCCCCTGTCAGGAAATTGCTCTACCACCAGTTCCACCACCGTTGGCCACCGCTTAGTCAGCTACTATGCCGACGCTGCGCGGCCTATGGAGACTGCAACGCGGGGCGTCAAGGTTGTTATATGATTTGCTAGCGCGGGTGTTCAAAGCCGTGTAACGTAACTTCTCCCAGTAATCGATTCTCACTTGAATGTCGTCACATTTCAAGACAAACATGGGTTAGCCATGTCAATACACATTTTGGACACCACTTCGACCTACAATCTATGTTCAGGGGGTCCTCAATATCTGTGAAGAACATAGGCAAGTCTGACCACGCCTCTGAGTGCTATTGGTTTTGAAAGAGCCTTCTGAACCACTGTGAAGTGGAGCGCGCCAGTGTTTTATTCCAATGTTCATCGTCTCATTCTTGCAGTTTATTAACTCAAAACCACAACCAAAAATGATGAACAAGTGATCTACATCCCGCAATCTTTTTGGAGGACCTTTAGCCATCAGCAGCCTTTTCAATCCCTCTGTCACCCTTAGCAAGGCTTGTTAACAAGTGAGCTATATCCGGCGAGCTTCTTTGGGTTCAGGGGGCTTTTTCAACCCTCTGCTCCCTCCCTTGGTAAGGCTCTGGCTAAGCCACCGCCTGCATACAAAAGCAGACCAAGTAGGCTACATTGGATGATGGGCAAATGAATGCCCGATAGGCCAAGTCATGCCTGAAGCAGCTAGCAGCCCGGTTTTTTTTCTGCCGTAGTGTGATGTGCAGGAAAATAATTTGGAAATATATTCTGTAGCAGGTGCCCACTCACACACAAAAAAGTAGTGATGGTTACATCAATACTCTTGTATATGCGATGGCTGTTTACACACCTACAAGTAGGGATGCTGATCAATAAACATGCAGAAGAGCAGTTATATGATCAGTTCACAGTCAGTTATGCGGGGACGGCTGGGTCAAGGCAATGGCCGCAGACGCAGGACTGGGGTAGGGCTCAGATAAGGAGTATCTGAAAGATGAACCTTTATTCTGTAACTTGACATTGTCAGGAGAAACTTCGGTTTAATGTTTTCTTTTCCGTCTCATTGATTTTGGCACTTAGGATTTGAAGATTCCGAATTTGTTTCGCCTAAAATGTTGCCACATTTTTATCTCTTGAAAAGCAGCCGGCGAAATCAAGGCGCACAAAAACTCTGGCACGACATTGGCTATTGATTTACATTCAAAATTCTGACCAGCCTGTGCCCAAGTCGTATTTTGGCACCTGCCCTAATTAGGCAGGTGCCACTCCAATCCAGACCCAAAGTACCTCCTCGCTCGTGCAATTTCGCCTTCCCAGGGCAAACAATTTTGGAATGAGCGAATGGTCCAAGGAAGCTGGATAGTCTTACCTGCCAAATGGCATAGGTGAGTCGAATAGGCAAGATTATGTCCCAGTGGGACACACCTATAGGTGAATATTTAGCATAACAACCATGCCATTTAATTATTTCCAAAATGTGCTACCTGAATTAAGAGCCAATAATGTCATCCATTACTCCCCCCGCGGTCACTGAGCATGCGGCCCAGTAAGATTATACCATGATTTTGCGTTTTCCCCACTCTTTTAAACCGTTCCTACACCTGTGATTAATTGATGCATTAATGACACAGACAGGTTGCATTAACACAGGTTGCATTAATGACACAGACTGCACCAATTCGGAAAAGTTATGCTTCATGGCGCAACGCGCACTGTGATTCATTTTGATTCCAGCATTGTCTATGAAAACTAGTTTGCAAGAGACTGACGAGTTAAATATCAACTGAAGGGCGTCACATGTTAGGTGGCGTGTCAAGGTGGGCTCAGATGCGATGGCGTATATTCTGGAATGTTGTTTTGCCGTGATGAACCGATTTGAATCAATTGCTTCTGTTTCCAAAACATGGATTGATGTTGTATTGCTCTTACAACTGGATTGAATTGCACCCTGATAGTTGAATCCACCAAGAGCTTTGCCTTTTCATTAACCTAACATGCTAAAATGCACAAATTTAGTACAATTCCCACTGTCATCGAGCGTTCTCTGGCTCTCACCTAAAAAATGCAAGGTCATAGACGCTTGCAATCTAAGTGCCTCTCCCACAAAGCGACAGAGGTGCTAGAGGATCTCAGTCATTATCGATTGGGATAAATGCATGCCAGGTGAACGATGATTGATACCGGAAGACGCGTCAAAGCACACTGGACTCCCTTACGCTTTTGCCAGCTAGAAAATCGTACGGAGGTACGATTACCTAATCGTAAAAAGGGCCGCCAAAGCGGTCAGGTGTAGTTTTATACATTGTACCAGTGTTTGTTGTAATTGCTAATATACCCAGGAAACAATGGCAGCAAAATTGGGTCTAATTTGTGATCCCAGGTGTACGCCGCTGCCAACTGGCGGTGGGTGAGCGAACTACAGCCTGTGTTCGCCACCGGCTACTCTGATTTCGTGGTTAAGACGGACGACACGGAAGAGCACGGGGAAGAGATGGTGGAGGTGATGGTGCAGGAAGGCGTCAAGATCAGAAGCAAGGCTAGCGGACACCGGATCGTGACACTGCAGTTCTGGGACCGGCAAGAGCACGGCATGTCAGTGCGTCCAACGAAAGCCCAGTTTTTTGTACCACTTATGATCATTGCTATTCGGCTGTTCAGAGCAAATTTGCGTGTAAAGATACACCAGGCCTCCGGAAGTTGTTGTGCCAAACGAGATACCGATAATGTGTTTTGGTTGGAACAGTGCCTGGGCGCTAGATGTGTTTTGATATAAAGGGACTGTACAGTGAAAACAGCACGCTGCTTTGCTGCCAAACAGTTTGTGACATAGGTCAGCGAGCCATTGTATTTAAATTATTGTTGATGCACCTTGCCAATGCTACTGTATCCACAGTTCAGTTTAATACGAAGCTGTCTAGTTAGAACAGCCTGTTAACTTAACATCTGTGAACTTTTTAGTCAGCGCTCGCTTCCAGATAGCCAACAGCAGAGTTGTAGTACAGGATTTCACTACAAAACCTAAATCACCGCTTGACACACCAATTTTTGCCCACTTATCGATCCGTCTGCATTCTCTAACCCCGTCCCACTCACCCCTGTACGCCAACAGTTACTACACGGGCGTGGAGGACACGCGGCCGTCGGAGACGCACCTGTACTGGCGGCCGGACTCCGCGGCCGGCCAGCGGGCGGGCGCCGCCTGCCTCACCTGCGGAGTCTCGACGCTGCTGGGCCGGCCCTGCAGCCGCCTGACGCCCATCTTCGGCCCGAACAGCGACGCCCTGGCGCTGGAGTGCGCTCAGGGGCCGGTCCGGAGTCTCCACGTGCTGGATCGAGCCGTGACGCGCCGCCTGGCCGAGCTGGACAGCAGCCGGGCCCTGGCCGAGCGCATGGCCGTGCCGCACGTCTTCAGCGAGACGGTGTCCCTGGGCGGCGAGTACGTGCGCCTCGAGCTCATCCTGCCGGCACTCTGGGAAGAGAAGAAGGGAGGCACCTACTTGTATCCGTTTGTGCTTGACATGTAAGTGGGGAAGCGTCAGCTGGTTAAATGTTCTTGAATCACTTGTTCGCTATTATTCACCTCAATCTTCCACTTCCTTGTACGTTATGTCTTCCTCTACCCCAATCCCCCTTCCGTCCCCTAATCCTCCTTTCCTTGTTCAGTGCCGGTTTACCATCTGCCAGGTGTGTCGATGACAATGCATGAAGACACCCAGATCGCAGACCTACGACACACTGCATTGCCGTCCGTTCGCGAAGCATGAACGTTTGGTGCGTTGCAGCGAGGATGACGTCCTGGAGCTGGACTGGAGCGTCGAGTTCGCAACGTTTATGGTGAGCAAGTGGGACCTGGTATTCGTCCGAGCGCGAGCCACGGCCCAGCTGAGCCACAGAAGCTTCTTCGGCAACCAGAAGAGAACGTCAGGTATCCTCAGGTTCGTGCTGATCTCACCATATGCGTGGATGACATGGTCGGAGGACAATGTGTGTCTGCAAAGGTTGTTATTTACGCTATTAACGATCAGAGCATTGATGCTAGAAGTAGCCAACCACTCACTCACCCAGTCAATCAACCAGTCAAGGTATGTCCGAATTCCAACATATCCTATTGCATAGCTGTGTCGAAAACACAACGCCAACACCATCCTTGTTTTGAGTTTTCGGAAGCTTTTAAAAATCTCTCATTGTTATATGCCGGTCCAAGTTAACGCCACAATAATCAAATATGGGAAGAAAGTATGTGATCAATATTGAGTTAATACACGCCCGGGTGGCCGGTTGAATACCCTTCGCCATGGTGGGGAAGGGGTAATTTAGCTCAACTAAGATATCATTAACTAAGAGAGATAGAGACACCATGTTCACATGCTAGGTTGGCTTGCATGTGAGCCCACTTGTATCAAACTTTGAGGCTCTCATGTCATGACTTGCGGGTCAACTAACGTAAACAAAGTCAAACACCACATTGGTGTCCTAAGTAACCTCAGACCTCTTCAGGCAACCGCCTTGAACCTAGGTTTCTGTTCTGAGCAAAAGTTCACTGTTGTTCCCAAACTATCCGTTTTTTTTTGCTTCTGTTTGTCCCCCCTCCTTATCGGGTAACACGATGGTTTTGCATGCAGTGACCTATTTAAAAAACGACCCCGCGTTGTTAAAATGTGCTCGTGATAGTGATACATGATGCCAAAAAGTCTCACGCCGGATATGATCCAGAAATAAGAGCCCGGGTGCTTTAGAAGTAAGCTGCCTTGAAAGTCGTCGCTTTTCTCAGCATCATTTCAGAGCATATTTACTACACTTTTTCCTGGAATGAACTTGCCATTTGGAACGCAATATCAACCAACCTTTACGTTTGACCAACTACATGCATGCCTTTGCACACACACAATAATCTGATCCTCCACTACTGTAGAACTGGATCGCACCAATGCCTCAGTTGTAGATTTGTTGCTGTACGTACAAATGCCAAAGTTGCTGCCCGCAGTCCCCAGCTCATGGTTCCTCGTTCTTGGGTAACGGTATAGAAAATAACCTTACAGCCTGAAGCTGTCGGCTCGCTATACAGTGTGCACCGGCGCCTTTCCAATTAAACCAGCTATGTCGAAGCCAATAACTAAACGCGAGACGTGTTCTCGTTCCCAGCCACCTATCTCAGAAGTATCAGTACCTGAACATGGAGAGAATAGCGGTGATAGGGGAGGGTTTCGGCGGCCACTCAGCGCTGACCGCCCTGGCTGACAACGCTCTGGTACACTGTGGCGCCGTCCTGTGGCCTGTCGTCGAACTGGACCTTTACGGTACGTCTTAAAGGGAGTATCCCACCTTCTGGTACTTTTCACTTATTGTGACATCTGGCGCATACGACTTGATCCGTAATACCGGTTTTCTCGCAATCCTGAAAAAACCCAGAATTTTTATTTGAAGTAGCCGATCCTGCGGGAAAAATCTCATTGGCTCCCTGCTCACCACTATGCAATTATTACATGCCCTTACCTTGCCCTTTCCAACGTGTGTGTTCTATAATGTTTGCAGCACACTTATGTGTCAAAATGTTTGTGTAATAAATGCCACAAATTTTAAAATGCTCTGTTCAGACAAAAAGATACGCGATCACGAAGATATAATCCCGCAAATTCAAGGAAACGTCAAACTATGGCTTTGATTTCTCCCCCATGGCGTTTATCACAGTGGCTGTCTGAGGCGAACTTCGGCTTTAGGAATTGAATTATCACATCATCCATGCGGCACACTAGTTCAAACTTCAACCAATCAGCTTATCTGTAGTAGGCCCTTGCCCATTAGGCCAATCACAATTGTTCTTTTATTCGCACAAGTAGAGGTGCGCACGGTTGTTGTCATGACGACGATGTTCGCGACTGCAGGGAAGAATGGTAGTGCTGTTGCAAAGCGTTGACAGCGTAATTTAGGCTCGAAAATAATTAAAATTGTTATCTTCATTATGTCTTAACAGTGCTCCAGTGACACTGCCTCGTGATATTATTAGATGTGACTGGTCCTAAGGATGCATTGGAGCATATTTTTGAAATTACCCTTAAGGTGGGATACTCCCTTTAAACGCCAGAAAAGCAGTATGCAACATCAAACGGGTCGCATCATCCGTACACAAACACACTTTTGAACTGCCCCTTGTTAATGCTTGAATGGATTTGTTGCGCAGTTTGTGAATGCAGCTGATGTGCATACGTGCAAACGTCGGCAATGATGCGCATAACTGTTACAGATGCTTACCATGCGGAGAGATACGTGGACACAACCAACATTCTGGATGCGATCGAGCGGATCGATGACCATTCCCTGTATCTGGTTTACGGAACCGGAGATCCGCTCTTTCTACATGGGGATCTACTCTCCAAGAAGCTCGTGGAGAGAGGCGTCCTATTTTATCAGCAGGTATGGGTTGACTTGTCATTGTTGTGTGATGTGTCACACATCTTACATCTTGTGGTCCATGGGCGCGGCTCGTTCGGAAAGTTTATTATCATACGCTATCTGAACGCTTCATATTATGCCGTTTTCCCAACCCCAAAGGAAGAAGTCCAATACAAATCTATAACGCCGCAATGACACTTTTGCCAATCTGTTTCAGATTTATTCGGACGAAGATGTCTACTTCCGTTCCGTCCGCTCCCACCTCCACAGGTCACTGGAAGACTTCCTCATCCCAAAATGTTTCCCACACCTGATGGCCAAGCAGGCGGAAGATGAGTGACAGCGATGAGCGCTTGTGCGCACCTTGTGTGACACCCTGGGTGCGTTCTTTGCACCCTTTCACCAGCGCTGTGCGACTGCTGTGGAGCCTGGAGGATTGGGGGGTTTGGTATTGAAGGGTAACAGCCCATGTCTGCTGCTGATTCTGCGCTGAGATAGCGGGCCCGAGTGAGGCCTCAGTGCAATATGATACGGCTTGAGCCGGTCATCCCGTTTTGCTCAAGGAGTATGCGTAGATCTATTCCATCGATTACCAAAGTACAAGTAGCCTAATGGTCGCTGTCTTTTCATAACCAGTGCGGTGCCGGTGATGCTCGTGTGAATGCAACATGGCATGCTACTCATCATTTTTAAGCCAGGGGTCGCATTTGCCTTCTTTCAGACGGGCTTAATTATTGCACCGCTTAAATGATGCTATCATGTTGATCTTGTTTAATAAACGCTCCTCATCCTGAGGCCATAGCATTCATTGGGCGCTGGAAGGCCTTGGCTGGACAAGGGCTCCCGGGGTTCCGTGGGTTTTAAGTTCATGGGTACTTCAGACAAGGCCACGAACAAAGTAATCGAGCAGTCTGCGTCGTTCTCAATTTAAGTGTCAACATTCTCCGCTATTGGGCGACATAACCAAACAGGTACTGGACATACGAAGCTTTGGATACATGCATGATCGTAATGCCTCTCACCACGGATATTTTCATTTTCAGTGGGAGAAGACGACAATCTTAATCTTGTGGCTGCATCCCATTTTGTGTCTTGCGCTGCGTGTATGGTTGACTTGGGAACACAAGACATACGTATGGCTATCACAATCACTATATCAGGAGCATAGTTTCCTACTCAGTTAGGGCAAAGTTTTTACGCTCCCCCCCCCCCCGCCCACCTTGACAGGAAGGTGGTTCGATCATGGGGAGAAACAAGTTTTTAACGCATTTGGTGGTACGTTTATACATTTTTCTGTATGCAGGTCCTATTTATTCTGAGGAACCACATCCCTGGACGGAAGTGCAGCACTGCGGCAGCATTTTACCATATGAAGTGTTCTGCAACTTTTTACACGGTTCGGGAAGAAGTTGTGTTTGAGCGAAGGAATTCCGATCGTAAACGCAGAAAGATTCGTCCGTGTGATGTTAAATAAGGCAACTTTGGCTTGATTTATCTCATTTCAGTTGCGTCGCAGGATTTCGCAAAAACGTTTACTTGGCCAGGAACTAAATGTGAAGTATCAAATTAAAAAACCTGCATTATCTGACACGTTTAGACAACGTAACACATAATTATAAAACATAGGTACGTAGCTGCATGATGATCGTATTTGCGAGGCCAGTGGATTTGCATCGCAACAGATACCAGCAGACTACAATTCGTGTGACTTCTTACTATATTCAGACATATATATTGCTAGACCGGAAGGAAATGACTAAGGTGTCGGGTACATGAGATGCATATGCGCTGTAGCGTAGCTGTAGTGTGCCCTTGATCACTCGCATCACCGATGGGGAAACGGGAAACTCAGGACCTCATTATGATGTGCACCAACGTACCGTCACTGATGGAATCCGGACATTGTGAGAAAAATCACCTGTTTGTTGGACGGCAGCATCCATGCACAACTACACGCTGCTGCTCCTTCCACGCACATAGTTAACAGTCACGGGTTGAGTGGAAAGGTCCGATATGCTGCGTACCTGATGCCGGGCCGCAGATCACCGAGCGCACAACCATGGAGCATTCCGGTGCAGCATGCCATCAGGCGTACACATGTGAGTGACATCTGGCGGCTCAACTTTGACTCACAGCCGCGAACGTGGCTTTTGGTAGACACCTTCGAGTCTTCCGAGACTAACTCAACTCGCATTGCAGCTGCGTTGGAGTCTATGACACTTTTTGGTGGTGAATAATTTTGTACTCATTTCCTTAGTGCCTTAGTGCAGCGACTTAGTCCTAAATCCGAAGTTGAACTTTCCCAGGGCATCGGGCCCCCAGTACAGCCGGGGACGAAGCCAGTCGAGCATCAGTGCGTTATCATGCGCCAAGTCATATTTTGACATCTTAACTGTGGAGACAAGGGCTTACTCAGTCACCCAGAATCGCTCCTAAGTCGTGGAATTTCCCCTCCCTGTCACCTAGAAACCCTCCATAGTCGTGATGTTTGGCCTCCCTTGTGAAAGCGATGTTGATTTGCGACACATGAATAGTTCGGGGATAGTAAGCACTCTGCCTGCGTTATGTTTTCGATCAGTCAAATAAATAAATCTGTGTGCGACAAGAAAACCGCTGTAAGAATATAACACAATAACGCGCTTTCACTTTTTGCCGAAATGTATCACGCATTACGGGCGGACAAAGCTAAGTATCTCCTCCAGTCCTCCGGTACAGCTTGCCCAATCTGTTCTTCGGCAGTCCAGTCCTAGGCGCAGCTGGTCAACTAGGTCGAAGGTTGGCTGGCGTCGTAGGTTTGCCGAGCTTCGTCTTTTTATTTCTTCGAACTTGTGAAAAATAAAGCATTGCTACGCCGATGACCGAATCAGACGGGCTGAGTCAGGCTGTGTGCGGTGAAGGTAGAGTTGTGAAATACGGCCCGTTTCCTTAAAATGATAATATAAAAGATAAAATATAAAATAAAGATACACATACATATCACATCATATAAAAGCATCTTACATACATCAAGATAAAATATAAAATATGAATTCCTGCCTTATGACGTTTAAACGCGTTATGAGTTGGTCACCATTAACCACTGTGCTTTACCGATTTTCACTGCTCCGCACGATGAGTGTCCGTTCATCCATCTAACGGCGTCCTTTTCGTGGGCAGGCTCACTTTATCCTGCTGAGTTATGTGAATCTTCTTCACCCGACTATTCGCATGTTGTGCAAGCACCGCTCCATCCCTTTCAATGACATCCCAGACCGAAACAAGGGTGTGCTCTTGTACTTTTGTATTGAATAAGTCAGGCCGAATAGGAGGAATCCGAAGCCAAAATAATAGTTTATTCTCACTACTAGTACCATCGATCCAATGGAAATCTGCACCGCGATGGTGGCGGTGTGGTCCCCTGTAACATCACCGCTGAGTGCAGGTCGTGACGTCACGTGGGGGTGGGCGGCGACCGGAGCGGCCGGTGCGGCCGGACGCGGCGGCGCCGCGGTGCTGCAACGGGCGTGTGTGACGGCCGACAGCACTGCGCCGAGTGTTCGGCGCCTGCTCAGCCCGTCATCATCTCCATGAACTCTGTGGGGCCAGGCGTCCGTCAACCGCCGGCGCCTGCTCAGCCCGTCATCATCTCCATGAACTCTGTGGGGCCAGGCGTTCGTCAGGCGCCGCCTGCCACTGCGCATCGAACTTCGACGATCTCTCGTGAGTATCGACGCGTTCATGCACTGGTTGCTGTTGGAAATGCTATAAAAAAACATTGCATAATTCATATACAAATCTGAATTTGAGCAACCAGCAGTTTTTGTGCTTTGAGGCAAAGCTTGCAGCCAACACTATCAGAACCAGATGCAGAACATGGGCCATTGGGTCTGATGGTCCACGCACCGTCAAAGTCAACGGTTCCCGAGTTGTCCGTGTCGATCTCGCCGATGATATTGTCGAGGTCCTCCGGGTTCAGGGTGTCGTCCAGCTCCTTCAGAATCTCTTTCAGAGATGACGTGGGGATGTAACCGTTCCCTGCAGCAACGGCACGTGGACGGTTGGCTTATTTTAGTTGAGCTTGGTGAGAGACAGGTAAGTGTAGAATATCAGCAGGTGAACCTGATCAGGAAATTACTCCACGACAGGGATGACGGACGGGAATTGGAAAATAATGACTAAGGAGTTGAAACCGCGTGGATTGTCAAGATGAAGGCGAAACATGAACCTACATATCTGCGAGTGCTCCAACTAGTACAAACGGCGATCTTAACGCATCCTGTGTACTATGCGACTTGGACGATAATGGTGGAGACGTGTGCTGACTGCAAAGGATGCCCTGTAAGCCGGCTGTGACTGATATTGTTGGCAGATGGAGACGAAAGCGTTAAGAGGCAATCTGGGAACTAACCGAGGCGTCCCCATCCCGTTCAAAACTCACCGGCTTTGTCATAGAGACGGAACGCCTCCTTCAACTCCTTCGCCATAGCTTCAGCGTCGTCCTCAATGATGAACTTGGCCGCCAGCGTGACGAACTCGTCGAACTCCAGCATGCCGGACTCTGGGAACACCAGACGCACCTTAGACGCACTCACAACTTTGTCATATGAAACTGCGTGAGATCACCGTCTACTCAACATCATCGCCGTCTACTCACCATCATCAAGGCCTTCGTCTTTATCATCTATCGACCGTTACTGTTTTTTTCGCCTTTGATAAAAAATGTCGACGACAACATTTTTTCGTCCTTTCTATGTGTTTCGCATGAGCCTAGTATGTGTATTTCATGAAGTTGTCGGGCTTTTTTTCTGAGCACCTAACACCAACTGAGTTAACGGCTCAAATATAGCTGCACCAGTCACCCTACAATTCTGCGTGCTTCGTTCACCCAACCGCGACAGCACACAATTTTTGCTCTCATTCGAGGTAAAACAGTTACGACCCAGATCTGTATGAATCCTCATATCGGAATCAGGCTTCGGAAATATTGTGTGATATTTAGAATATCCTTCACAAAAGTCGTTACCAATAGCCCACGATGAACGGGGAAATGGAAAGGCTTACTGTCGGCGTCCACCTCTTCGATGAGTTCCTTGAGTGTCTGGGCGTTGTATGCTTGACCCATCATCCGCAGTATGGTGCCCACCATGTCGGTGTTGATGGCGCCTTTCTTCTCGTGGTCGAAACCATCGAACGCCTTCTTGAGCACTGAGAATGGGGTCCAGCGTGATGAGACGGATATATAATTGGTAGGATAGCCATGCCATTCTGAAGCATATGTGAGCATCTGGAGAAAACGTGGTTACCATATGCAGCCTCCACTTAAGTACATTCGCGGCACAACCGCTCCACGGCGCACTTTTTCTACTGGCCCACAGGGTTCACCTCTTTACGGTTGGCTTTGCACAGGCCTGTAATTGAACTTACGTCGTGCTTAATTTCGATAACGCTGGCGCCAAAACAATTTTTTCATTATCTTGCACCACTCCATCGGCCTTTTTGTATGCAGAGATCAAAATCCCACGGGCACCAGGTCCAAATTTCATGCATGGTACGGCGCGAATTTTTCCGTCTTTCGAGTTATACCGTGCGGTCTCAGTGGCACAGCCAGTGAAGTGCTGGGTCCATAATTGAAAAAGGCTGACCGCTCTAGGCCGGACCTGGCCAGTCCGGAACATTTCTACCCGTTCCTTATGAAATGTGCTGAATTGTTAGCTCACAGCCGACACATGCCGTTGTATGCATCGGCTGTGCTTCTGTACAATTTAACATGCCCCGCGTTAAGTTACGTACAAAAGATGGATATCACATTCATTACAATTTTAAATACATTCACTAGTGTACCATATGCGCCACGCTACCTTGAGTTATGGCCTACCAAAAGTTAAGTATAATCTATTTTTTTCAAACAACTGCACGTCTAGAAGATTTCCAGACGTATCTTGCAATTTCTTTAGTGGATTGCGTTCCACGCGGCGCCCATTACTCTGGTCACGATATGTGTCAGGTGGGGAAAATCGATCTCCGCTGAGTACGCATTTAAAGGCATGACTCTGGGGCGAGCCTACAGGATCACATATCTATTATGCGACACGCACACATCGCGTACATACAGCAACCGTTAAAATGGTGAATTCAACCATCACAACACTCAGCATAGCAGCAATCCGCATCAGCCGGGCAATGCATCATTTCGCAGTGGTAATCTGAAACTGGTCAGAGCAGTGCGATAAACTGGTACCCACGTCCGTTATCAACGAGGCGTCGAAAGAGCAGCGCGAGAAGCTGAAGTTCTGGTTAATCCTTAGGCAGGATAAAATGCTGTTCCATATTCACATCACGGTATTTCCGCACTTTTGGATATAAGTTATGACGCCTTGTCATGCACGCGTGTTAGAACTCAGATAAGTATAACGGAAGTGAAATGTCCGTCCGAAAGCCCATTAAGAAAGTACGATGTCATGGCTCCCCGTTGCCAATACTCCCTCTTCATTGCAATGAGCCAGACAGGCTTTAAGGTCAAACAGTTGAGATGAAAGACAGCCAGGAAGTACGAATAAAGCAACTTCAAATAGCTTCACCGCGAAGAAGATGTGGAGTGCCCCAAGTGAAGCCCCCCAAAGCGGTAGACTCAGCATGAACCCCACACCACTTACTGGCGATTTGGTCCTTGTCCAGTTCCTCCTGTAAATGGTCCGATGGCAAACGATTATCACTTGTCCATGCTCCCCGGGGGTGAAATATAAGACGGGACACTGGAAGGTGGTCTCATTCACCCCCAGAAGGATGCTAGCAACTACAAAGTGTTCCGATGGCAGGTTATGTGTTACGGGGAATAATCTCTTCATACCTTGCAAACTGCTGGGGAAATACACGTGCTATTGCTACCGTCTGGAATATGAAAGGCATATTCCACCGTTATAATTCTCTACGGGGAGTACACCACAGGGAGAACAAAAGATCATGCAGCTAAATTCTAAGGGAGAAAACTACATGGTCATAACTAGCGGCTAATTATCCCGCTTCTATCCAAGCGGACAACTCTTACCCAGGCAACAACCATACCTAACACCCCTCTCAACCGGGTGACAGTTACAGCTGATGCTGCCCGCTGCCAGCCATGTCGTACTGGGCCGCGACACGTCCGACTCCACTCACCATGGCTGATGGCTTCGGCTTCGGGAGGTGTTCACGGGAGCCCTGGTGTAGCAGCACTGCACGCCCGCCACGCACCCAGGCGCTGCCCTCGTCGCCGGCAGGGCCTAATTTTACCCGTCGTCCGCCGGCGCGCCGGCGGCGCTTCCAGCCGTTTTCTAGCCGATCAGCCTCGAACGGCAGCAGTGGGTTCATGTTGTGTTTGGCCCGACCCCGGCTGGCCAGTGGCCACTGCCCTGGCCTGGACAGCCGCTGGACACCGCCTGATGCTCTACAGCGAGCGCCGTCGGCCACGGACGGGGCGAGGCACACCAGGTCTCTGTCGGCCACGGACGGGGACGGGGCGAGGTACGCCAGGCCTCTGTCGGCCACGAACGGGGCAAGGCACACCAGGCCTCTATCGGCCACTGACGGGGGCGGGGCGAGGTACGCCAGGCCTCTGTCGGCCACGGAGGGGGCGAGGCACACCAGGTCTCCGTCGGCCACTGACGGTGACAGGGCGAGGTACGCCAGGCCTCTGTCGGCCACGGACGGGGCCAGGCACACCAGGTCTCCGTCAGCCACTGACGGGGACAGGGCGAGGTACGCCAGGCCTCTGTTGGCCACTGACGGGACGAGGCACACCAGGCCTCTATCGGCCACGGACGGGGGAGGCACACCAGGCCTCTATCGGCCACGGACGGGACGAGGCACACCAGGCCTCTATCGGCCACTGACGGGAACAGGGCGAGGTACGCCAGGCCTCTGTCGGCCACGGAGGGGGCGAGGCACACCAGGTCTCCGTCGGCCACTGACGGTGACAGGGCGAAGTACGCCAGGCCTCTGTCGGCCACAGAGGGGGCGAGGCACACCAGGTCTCCGTCGGCCACTGACGGGAACAGGGCGAGGTACGCCAGGCCTCTGTTGGCCGCGGACGGGGTGAGGCACACCAGGTCTCCGTCAGCCACTGACGGGGACAGGACGAGGTATGCCAGGCCTCTGTTGGCCACGGACGGGGCGAGGCACACCAGGTCTCTGTCAGCCACTGACGGGGACAGGACGAGGTATGCCAGGCCTCTGCTGGCCACGGACGGGGCGAGGCACACCAGGTCTCCGTCAGCCACTGACGGGGACAGAGCGAGGTACGTCAGGCCTCTGTCGGCCACGGACGGGGGAGGCACACCAGGCCTCTATCGGCCACTGACGGGGGCGGGGCGAGGTACGCCAGGCCTCTGTTGACCACGGAGGGGGCGAGGCACACCAGGTCTCCGTCGGCCACTGACGGTGACAGGGCGAGGCACACCAGGTCTCTGTCGGCCACGGACGGGGGCAGATATGCCAGGCCTGTGGAGGCGAGTATCAAGACGGCTAATGGATTTTTCGGCATTCATTCTCTTCGAGTGCCTCGTTTTCTGTCAGCCGTACCCTGAAAATGACGATTTGAGCACACATGGCACCAATCAAGCAGCGAGTCACACCACTGGGTTGTCTTACACTTGATTTAAAGTCGGAGGTTTATTCAAATTCCATCGCAAGTAGTGTTGTTGGGTGTGCCACTGAGGAGCTAACAAGCTGATTAGTAATCTCAGGACAGACTGATTAGTAATCTCACTCGGCTTATCAAATTTTCCGTTCTTCGGACGAGATGAAACGAAGCAAAGCTGGCCGTCTCTGGGGAATGTGGTATCAGTTGATATGTTTACCCACACCGTCAAATTGTGTTACCAACAATTGCGACGAAGGAACCCAGCGACCCAGTTTGGGGTCACGATGTCAAACTGCTATCCTAGTACCCTTTGTCAGCTAGCTACTATCTCGCCAGTTTCCAGTTAGTTTCCAGTCTTCCTGGGTCTGCGTTTGACCCTTAACGCCCCGATCGATCCCGCGTGACGGGTGGATGACGGCCCCTCACCAAACCATGCCTCACCGTTATGGTTCATGAACGGATGTTTGGGCTTCGAAAATGGCTCGGCAGTTATCGGCGGTCCCGAGAGTTAACAAACCTCGTTGGACCGTGCATATCTGACCGATCACTAATTCACAAGACTTAATGCTATCTGTTGCCCGTTGCCGAAAGCTCACAGTGGAGTTCGCAGTCAAATACCAGACGCGCATCTCACGCTCACAGCCGCTTCTGCCGTGTGCAGAATATCATAGGCAATTGTGAATGGACCTCCAATTGCAAGGAGCAACTGCCAATGATTCCGCCCCAGCCAACGGTCCATGCGGACGTACTCGTGGTCTTCTGTCGACCGGCTCGGTCTGAGTCCCCGCGGGATCCCGCGCCGACGCAAGCTCTGGTGCCGGCGCCGCGCGGCTGACCCCGATCAGGTGGCTCGCACCTGTCCGCCGGCCCCGCGGGAAGCGGCTGGAACCTATAAATACCGGCCGCCGAGGGCGGCGGCGGTGACGGGCGGGCGCGCCGGGCGGCCTGCCGTATACACAGGCTGCGGCGGCGGTCGGTACACAGGCGCGCGGGCCACCAGGGGGCCGGGCCCTGGCGGCGGGTGACGGCCCGGCGGCAGGACTGGACCGCGAGGCGGGGCCGCGGACATCCAGAGCGCTTTGGTGTCAGACCGGGCGGAATCTACCACAGGCGGACGGTGAGTTGCCTTTTAAATCGACTGCCTCGTCGGCTGCTTTAGCACCATGAACCAGCTCTAACTAACCTAGCCTCAGTTCAACGCGCTCGGAGGTCTTCATACGCTTTAAGGCAAACGCGATCTTACATGGACATCCGTGAATTGCATATTATCAGCCAAATGGATCATGCGAATCCACGTTCTCCGCTGAAAACCTCGCAGCACTCGAAAACAAAACCTACAAACAAATCCATCGGAAGATGCGGACGAACAGCCGCCTAGCACTGCGGGTTGTGGCCATGGATCTCTGACCAGACCAGGCGCACATACCTATGCTCAAACGTATGCACACGCCTAAGCATCGAAAAGCTTCCGCGGATGTTCCCAGGTTACCTGTTTCTACACCTGCAGTTTCGCCAGGTCGTGAATATATCGCCCCTACAGTCAGTAACGGCCAAATGCTAAAAGTCGGCTCGAGGAAGACAGGCTGCCGCACACCTGAACAGCAAAAAGCCCGGGAAGCCGCTGCTTCGATCCGTCTGTCGGCACCGAGCAGTATCAATGTGCTGTTCGCGGTATGTCGTTTCGGGCGTGCAGTGACAGGCCGGCACTCAGCAGCGAATGGCTAATGCACGGATGGCCACCACGGAGCCCTCACCATAACCGTCACAGAGACGGCCACAGCAGGGCTTATCGGCAGAGCATAGACGCATGATGGTGGGTAACGTGTCCATCCGTCGACGTGCGTGGATGGGTGGTGGCGGTGGCTGGAGTGAATTCGGTGGGTGTTCCCCATGTGCTGTAGTTCATACTGCGCTGGCTTTTGTTTATGCTCCAAATAGAATGCTCTCAAAGAAGCTGAAATGGGCGGACTTGAAAGTGTTGTCTGTCGTAAGCATTTGACCAAACTTTGGTTTATATGCCATGAAGTAGCATGGGGTACAAAGCCCCAGGCGTCGCATTCGCCTGGATGGAAATTGCGGTCAGTCAGGAGGCGAATGGCACAGAAGGCGGGACGATTATCAAAATTTAAGCAACAAATACCCCAGCAATGCACCCTGGGACTCGCCACAGGCAGCTTTGATGGTTGGCGTATTCGAGTCTTTGCATACCCACTGTCGCTGCATTTCACACCTCCATGCGGCACCACGAGCCAGCTGGCCGGTTATCCTCGCATTACCCTGGAGCATTTGCGCGTTAACACCACGGTACCAGTGTTCCGCTTTCTTGCATATCGACTCCCATTCTTCGCGCACGATCCAGCTGATAGATGAGTCGTCCGCTTTGTGTGGTCGGTCGGAGCGTTCCAGCGTTCGCAGCAGATATACCTAAACTGGACGCTCTCGGCCCACTATCGCAGCTTGTCCAATGGTCACCACACGCGCTCTGTGGTGGCCATCCCCAAGGCCGCAAAAACACAGGCCCCGTAACTGTTCTGAGTGGTAGCGGTGGGACAGTGGGTAACTCTTGCTCTCTGCATGACCATTATTCCACGGAGAAGCCGCCTCAGTCATGATGTTTGCGATGATCATTGTTTCCAAGCGCTGGTAGGAGAAAATTCTGGCTTGCCTTCATTAAAATTAAGAGAATGAAATTCTCAATTATTACCTGAGCGCTAACCGTTGGATTTAGATGAGCAGCAGGTGAATACGGATCATATCTAACCACCACCGCAAATTAACGAACACAAGAGCGGCAGCATAGCGAGGTATCATGTATTTCTCACAGCCACCATGGCCACCTCCTCATCGTCGGACACGTGGTCGGACTCGGGCCCGGACTCGGCCGAGTCCTGGGCGTGACCCTCCCCGGCGGGCCGCTTCAGGGGCGGCGCCGCCGACCGCAGCTGACCCAGCGTGCTCAGGTACCGCAGCAGATACTTGTTGTGATCACAGCTGAAAACGGCGGCGCCGATCAGCAGCCAGGCAAGCAGGACAGCTGCGATACCACAGCCCGGCGCTTAACGGCTATGTGTCACGTGTGAAGATATCGAAACAAAACCAGATATGATGGAACAAACTCACTTAATTATTGAACGCAAGCTTACCAAATTATTGGCATAATTTCAAGCACTTTCATGCTTCTCTAGGTAACACAATATCTCTGTTTAATAAACATGCTCCTCGATGCCTCTTTTAGATAACAGTAGCATAAACCCTATTCCTCGTAGAAAAAAGGAAGCACGAGAATGGCTAGATGCGTAATATTTCTGCAGCATGCCTTTATAGAAACGAATAACAGTAGTGTTCAGTAACAATAACAGAACAGTGTCAACCGTGTTAACGACACTTCTGCACCGAAGTGTGTGTGCACCGAAGTGTGAGTAACGGTGTCAGTAACAGAAAAAACACTACTGTCATTCATCTCGATAAATGGATGCTGCCGAACTATCGTGCATCTATCCCTCCAATCGCCTGGTCTTCGTAAGAATACGGCTATTGCTACTATCTTATCTATATGCCTAATGTTACTCGCAAAAGCACTAAACAACCTACGTAACTAATTTCGATACGTCATTGTTTGATTGCATCATCGTACCTTGCACACAATTGAGAACCAATTGACGGCCGATATGTCTGAACATCGTGTTTACAAACGCCAGATATGAACGACTTGACCATTACATTTTTTTTATGCTGGGCTTGCTCGCCGCATGGCTCATGAAACGGCAGGGTTTAAATGACGTTATTATGACGTCATGAACGTCAAAGTGGCCTAACAATACTTTCTGGCTGTGAACTGCACCGCAAGGTGGTCAAGATGGCTATTTCAGTTCAAACCCCCACACAAATGTGGAACACTTCCATTAACCAGCGCAGCGTCAGAAGTTCAACAGGCCTGTTCTCAACACTCAAACCATTGCACGAAGGCTGGAGGAAGACACAGGACTTCTATCCAGATGCACCTTGTCTTTCATGTGAAACCGTATTATGGAGGTTGACCAAGGTTAACTAGATCATAAGAGGTCCCTATTACAAGAGTTATGACCAATGTCATATAGTACTAAGCCTCAACAAGAAATCGGTGAAAAAGTCATGAATGCTTGAGTGCATAAATGTCTTTTAATACTGTTGGGTAACCAATGGTAGAAATCACTTAAGAATGTTTCTGCTTGGCACAAAAAGCGTATACCAGAAACTCCCTTACAATATCATCGAATAGGTTGCTAATTTGCCATCACTGGGACAAAAATAATGATATTTGCCTGATTGCAATCAACGATCACAGCGCCAAAGGCGCTACGATGCACTACAAAATGTAAAATTACTTCCATGTTGCCAAGGCACGCCTACATTATTCTCCAATTGCTTCCAGCAAGGAAGTGAGAAAACAGCGCGACCAAAGCACGAGGCTGGCTGGCCCGCGCGGAGCCCCACCGCGAGACACTCACATTTGGCCCAGCGACTTCTGTTTGGCGGTGAGCGCCTTCTGCAGCTGCCGGAGCAGCGGCGTCACACTGAGTACGTGGCTGCGCAGCCAGCCGGCGTGCTGCTGCGTCAGACTGTGCGCCCACAGCGTGTAGAACTCCAGGTGGCGGGTGGTCTCCAGCTCGGCGGCCACGAACGCCAGCAGCCGCTCCACGTACCGGTGCGGCAGGCCCGTCACCACGGCCTCGACTGACGGGCAGACCGGCGGGGCGGGTGTCAGGCGGAGTGGTCAGAGACGAAATGTGTGTGTGTGGGGGGGGGGGGGGGGGGGGGGGCTGTCAGTGGAGCGGACGCTCGCCAGGACTCATTATAGATACCAATTAAAATCATAACACGGAAGGGGCACACGGCGCACGTTCGGGACGTTGCGTAAGATGCAGATTCGGACGAAGTTCCTCGGGGAACTGATCAGGCCAGACGAGTACACAACTGTTAACACCTGTTTGAACGATACACACCTGACTGAACGATGAGATAGGAACACTACACAATAACTTGGCATGGCTGTAAACACACTACGTCTGCAAAAAATCTTTGAAATCACCCAAAATTGCATTTGAAACCATGTTATCCTACAGGGAAGATCCAGATGGGGCCGTGCGCCGCCGCAGGCCAGCCCGGGAGCGAGTCGAGTCGACCGGCGCGCCACCTACCGCTGCTGTGCGGCACGCTCTCCAGCACGCGGCGTGTGACGGGCAGTACGTTCAGGTGGAGCGCCATGAGCAGGGCGCGCGCAGGGTCGCCGGCCTTCAGCTTGGCCAACACCGAGCTTTCGGTGATGTTCTCCTCCAGCTGGAACGGCTCGAACACCAGGCTGGGGTCCAGCGAGTAGATGAGCAGACCTTCGGTGGTGACGGCGCCCCACGCCTCACCTGACGACGGCGCCGAGAGACGGTCAGAAGAGAGCAGGCGCGCGCACGCGGGCCCGGGCACGGCCAGCGAGACTGACGCGCGCACGACCGGCAAGCGAAGTGCAGATTCGCGCAGTACGGCAAATAGCTACACTAGACCGGTGTGGCCAAACGTGGTGTGGCCGCGTCACATTCCTCCGCAAGAGTGGAATATGTTGTTTAAGAATCAACGGCAAAACACTACAATTCCTTCGGCGTACACACTAAAAGTGTCCCTCACAAAGCCTGTCTGCCCTTATAGACCCCTGCTCTCCACATCGGTTGATGATTCCACCAACAACAAATCGCAGTCATGGTTCATATCAACAGCTACACACAGAAACTGGGACGAGACAGTGGCTCAGGTCGAACCCTGACAGTTTCTTTGGAGGGAGTGCTTCCTCTGCGACCGGCTGGGATTTGGGGTTGACCGGAACGCGCGAGTTCACAGACGGGTGGCAATGCTCGGCTCAGTTTTCCGCCCGTCACAGAGCCCAACGAGGGGACGGTCCACGAGTGGAGCCGCCAGGGCTAACAGCACGCCGCACGCGGACCAGTGTGCCAAAGGAGCTGCTGCGGGACCCGCCCGGCACACATGCGCGGGCGCCAGTGCCCTGGCTCGCAGGGGCTAACCAGGCACCGTGATGACAAGCCAAGGCATGTCGGCCAGACCGCGATCGGAGGCAAAAACTACCGCCGGCAGCTCCCCTCAACGCCCGTCACGTGGTCCGCTTGGCTCCAGGCCAGTGCCGCGGGGATGCGCCACCTGATCACCTGATTTCCTCGTGCGCAGGCAACACGAGGCATGCGCAGGCTCACCAACTTGAGCCACATACATACTGGCCACATACTGGTAGAGAGCCACATACTGGTAGAGTGCCCCGACTGATCCGCGGGACACCTCACTTAATAGCCAGGATCCCTCGTCGCCACCTGCGTCTAAAACGGGGCCCGGCAAGACGGGCAAAACTGTAAAACTGGGGGCCCAGGGATTGCTGATCCCGGTCTGACCTAAGTCTGCTAGAGCCCGCGTGGAAGAAACATGTCATCTGGCTCCTCCACTTGGCCGCAAGGGACGCTCTACAAGACTTCCCAACCGCCCTCAGGATCAATGAAGCACTCAACCCCCCCCCCCCTTCGCTCGCCGCCATGGCAAGGTGTTGCCTCAAAGGGCCCATGAACATCTCTCTGTGTGCTCCCGCAGCCAAGAGCACGTTTGTTGGGCGTGCCCAGGTGTCGCAGAGTCGGCACCGCGACGGGCGCTGGAGTGCTCCAGCTCCAGCTTCTGTGACGTCGACTGACGAGCACCCAGGGAGCTTCTGCGTTCAGGGTAGCGGTGTCCGGGCACACCGCGCCCTCTGTGGCACGCCGCACCCTCTGTGGCGCGCCGCGCCCTCTGGAGCACGCCGCACCTTCTGGGGCACACCGCGCCCTCTGGGGCACACCGCGCCCTCTGGGGCACACCGCGCCCTCTGGGGCACACCGCGCCCTCTGGGGCACACCGCGCCCTCTGGGGCACACCGCGCCCTCTTGGGCACGCCGCGCCCTCTGGGGCTCACCGCGCCCTCTGGGGCACACCGCGCCCTCCAGGGCACGCCGCGCCCTCTTGGGCACGCCGCGTCCTCTGGGACACCCCGCGCCCTCTGGGACACCCGCGCCCTCTGGCACGACAACGCGACCCCATGCTATGTCCGTTCGCGCGGCCATGATGGGAATACGCGTTGCTGTCTCTCTTGCAGTGAGGTTCAAGACATGTTCAGTCCCCGGCATCTGGGACCCGCTATCGATGTCGGGCCTGTTCAATGCTATACAAATGCGCTTTTGCCTCGTCATTCAATGACTTCTCACTTCTCCACCAATTTCACATTGCATACGAACAAACATCACTTGTACTGTAACAGCCACTGCGTGGATGATCTCAACGAACGACTGCGACTGTGCTGACCGACTGACCGGTGGGTGAGAAGCGGACGGCCAGGACGCGTATCTCCGGCCGCAGGGCGCGCGCCGCCATGTCGCCCCGCTTGGCGCCCGGCATCCGCACGTGGATATCGTCGGCGTCCTCCCCCCGGCTCTCCACCAGCGACAGGTTACCGAACTCGGTCATCTTGCGCTTGTGGATGAAGTCCTGCCAGCGGCGACGGAGTCAGGTGAGGCCACGAGAACGAGAGGGGCATTCACGCCGCAACACCCTGCACGGACGCCATAACCTACGACCGGCAGGTCAGCGGGCACAGCAGAAACAGGCGACGCTAACACGACATGGCGTCCGTGAGCCCCGATCCCGTCTGACAGCCTGTGAGTCCCGATCCCGTCTGACAGCCCGTGAGTCCCGATCCCGTCTGACAGCCAGTGAGTCCCGATCCCGTCTGACAGCCCGTGAGTCCCGATCCCGTCTGACAGCCCGTGAGTCCCGATCTCGCTGACAGCCAGTGAGTCCCCGATCCCGTCTGACAGCCAGTGAGTCCCGATACCGTCTGACAGCCAGTGAGTCCCGATCCCGTCTGACAGCCAGTGAGTCCCGATCCCGTCTGACAGCCAGTGAGTCCCCGATCCCGTCTGACAGCCCGTGAGTCCCCGATCCCGTCTGACAGTCAGTGAGCCCCAATTCCCTCTCAGCTGGTGTTTCGCAGCCGAAACTCACGTCGACGGCGTCGAACGAGCGATTCTGCGTGATCTCGAACTTCGCGAGCAGCAGACGCTCGGCCACGTGGTAGAGGCAAACGTTCTTGGAGTGGCCGGCGGCCAGCACGCACTTGCCGTCGGCCGTGTAGCAGAGCGTGTTGAAGGCCCTGGACGGCGGGCGGCGGGGTCAGCACGCCGCGCCGGGCGACACGACACACGCCACGGGACCGGGTCAAACCGAGACGAGCCACCGCCGGCCACTCCCCACGTGGGTACACCTAACGGACGGCTCGACGTCGACAGCTCACGGCCGCTCCCCGGTCCAATCAGTCTTCAACATGCAAGCTCCAACTGTCTCTGAGAACAGTCCATTGAGTGAGCTTCTGACATAAGCCACCGTCGCCGCTATAGATGAAATCGCCGTCTCTTGTGACCGGACTACGGCGTGCTTTAGTTGGCGAGCGCAGCTGACCACTTCTGTCGTGCGCGCGGGCCCCACGTCCTATGTTGAGCTCAGGACCGCATGGCAGCCTGGCTGGGGCGACAGAGCCGTCCCCAGCGACGCCCCACGTGACGTACTTGCCCTGGAGGCTCTTCTTGGCGGTGATATGGTCGGCGTCGGCGCGGCCGCTGCCCAGGTCGGCCCGGCCCTCGATGGCGCCCGTCTGCGCCGCCCAGGCCGGGTCGAACATCTGGATCTGGCCGCTGAGCGTGGCCACGGCCAGCTCGCCGCCGTCCGGCCGGTATGCCACCGCCAGACCTGCAGCACGCCGGCCCCGGTCAGCGCCGCTCACGCGGCCCGCGTCGGCCGCGCCGCCCCTGTCAGGTAGCGGTGACCAATGCGGGACAAACGAGGGCACTTAATACCGCAGCTTTTGCAGGGTTGCTCGATGCAGAAGTCTAATCAAAATCGTTTACACAGCTCGCATTTTTTTTCTTGTAGGATTGGCCATGACAACGACCGAGGGCTCATCAGTATCGACTTGACTCTACAGGCGACGCGAGAACCAGACATATTTTCGCTGATGTACTTATTTCCTCATGAGCAGCCTGTGCAAACCACGGAAATTTACCACGGGACCTGATACCCATGGGTACGGACCCCATACGTAGACGGATCATGCATCCGGCACACGGCGAGGGGCTGACGCGTTTCCTCACGTCGTCACACAACACAGCGCGTGCTGCCTCAGAACCCGATCAACCCACCTGAGTCACACCAAACATCTGGTGATCACCTCGTGGACAATACCATCCAACTCAGGCACCTCGCGCACACATCGCAGTTTTTCTACGCTCGTCGGCAAAAAAAAAAACAGCACAAAAAGCGAGCAGAAGACCGAGCACGCCACAGCTTCACGGGACAAACAGGCGAGTTCAGTCGGCCCTGCTGTCCAGCAAGGTCGGCGCGGACGCCCGGGTGCGCCGCGGTCGGCGCGGAGGCGGGACGTACCGTCTGAGAGGAGGTCGATGGTCTCGCGCTGCCCCTTGGACTGGATGGTGTCCCAGAGCCTGCAACAGGCCGTCCCGCCCCGGGTCAGCAGGCCCGGCCCGGCAGAACGCCGCCCGACCGCTGTGCACAAACACCACCCACACCCGCGTTCACAGTCCAAAACAAAATGCGCGGTGATGAGGAGGGTGTTACTAGTGACAAAACGGAACGTGGCGTTCGGATAATTCAAAGTGGACAGAGCGTAAGAATTCAAACTCCCACTGATGTACGAGACCAAGGAACCTATCGCCAGCACAAATCGATTTAGACTGTTTCCAGTTGTGAGCAGCAGCCCCCGCCGGACGTCTAGGCCGGATGCCTCGTGTGACACCGGTGCCGCAGCAGGCGGGCCGGCGGCACGCGCACCTGAGCGTCTTGTCCCAGCTGACGGACGCCAGCGTGGTGGAGGTCGGGTCGGGGCTGAACGCCAGCCCGCTCACCGGGCCCTGGTGGCCGCTCAGTACCTGCAGCAGGGATTAGGTCAGGTAGGTCAGGTCAGGTCAGGTCAGGCTCAAGTCAGGCCAGGGCAGGCCGCACAGCTCATACAACACCCACGGCCCGGCAACGAGACCGCCCTCCAGCGGAACACGACCGGAAAACTGCACAGCACCGCATCAGTAACTGACTTCGATTCGCTTTGGTCACGAGGTGTCCTTTGTCTTGGCGGTAACGTAAGCATCATCAATGCGCATCAATTCCGCGAAAGTATTCACAATCGTGACCACAGCCCCCGGACCTACACGAGCGTGGAGGGGAGACCAGACCACGCTGTCCACCAGTTAGCGGCCCACCTCGAGCAGTTTGCCGAGCTGGAGCGACCACAGGTAGATCTCGAACGAGTCCTGAGCTCCGGCGGCCACTAGTTCGCCGCTGCTGTCCACCGCCAGACAGCTGAACTGGGCCGGACGCGGCGACGTCAGCGTGCGGAAGTTACGGTACCTGCCGACACCGGCGCGAGCTTCAGGGCGTGCAGGAGAGAGACGAGTACAGGGATCGTCACGCCTGAACGTAGGGTTGCGATGGCTCTGCCTGGAGACTTCAAGAGTCCGGGCGTTACAGCGCCCAGTTGTAACAGTCGTGTCGACCAGATTTCTTGCACATCGACGAAACAGCTTGCTTGCTGGCGATCGGGATTTTTGCTACCTGCCTGTTTTTACCGATATAATCGATGTTATCAATGCATATCATGCTAACAAATCGATCGAAGATAATCGATATAATCGATGGATTGATGTAACGTCGGCGATGCCAAACCTGATTGTGTCTGATGGTGAGGTGTCAGGACAATCAAGGGTGAAGCTGAGCCATACATGTCTAAAGTGTCTCTTACGCAGGATTGATGGCACCTACGTTTGAAAGAATGTGCTTATTACAATACAAAACATCAGCATCACTTCGACCAACACTACGCGACCAATTACAGTGATCTTCTTGGGTCAAGGTCATACTAATCAGATAAAAGTAAAACGGTTAAGCACTGTTACGCACAGTGACTGTTACAGGGGCGCTTTTTCAGTGATTCCTCACTTTTAACTAGCTTTGATTATGCATGCAAGAAACACTGATCTTCGAAAGGTCATGTAAGATTATGACCTTGAACTATCAATGTCTGCATGTAACACCTGGGCTGCTCTGACATCGCTTGATAACTAGTATCGCAATTGCCATATCAGTCTAGCAAAGCTTGGGTCCATTTTCAGCCTCCCTTCTCCTTGCGTAGCAGATACTACTAAGCGGTATTGCATCTGCATCATGACTATCATTGCAATACATTGTCACTTTGTGACATTCTTGACCTGAATAGGTGGCTTCGCATGGTTTCAAATAAATGCCATTTGCAAAAGTCCGCCATATTGCGCCGAATGTCGTTATCGTGTCGTAAGATGAGTGTTTATCATAGGACAGATACATGAAACGTTTGACATCTTAGCAAAGTCAACCTTAACCTATCACAGTTCAACTGCATGCAGTCAAAATTAGTCCTTATTGAAATCTTGTCAAACAATTCGGACAACGATTATTTGATAACCGTAAAAATGTTGGCATTGTATAACGGTGAAAACATGCATGACCCTCACGACCTTGCTTCACCTCAGAGGTCACAAATTGACCCAAAGAAGAACCATAAGTATGTTTGGACGGCTCACGCCATTATCAATGTATCGATCGTCTCCTCGCCACACCACCTTGTTCAGTATAGCAGGTACCGATAGTGAGCCCATCTATAATGCACTCCGATGGACATTGCAGTGATGTCCCCGTGACCAGGCAAGTCACCCTGGTGGCCCAAACTCAGAAACCCCGACGTTTCCGGAAACGGAAGACGGCAAACAGCCTGCTGATGGCCAAATTATTGCTGCTCACTTTTGGGCTTAGTCATTATATGGGCGAGAATATTCCGTCTGATTTCCAGCATGACCTGTTCTGGTCATCATTGCATTCTGAAAGGCTATCAATTGGCCTGAACCAAAACACGGATATCTTCAGATAGATCAGGCGACGAGCACCAAGCTCATTTCAACCTCAGGTTTTATCTGTCTTGGCTACAAAGTTAGGGTGTGTGTGTGGGAGGGGGAGGGCTATTAGAGCCCACATCGGCGAAGGCGTAGAAAACTTATCCATTGGGCGACGGCCACACCTCCGCCTTCCATACTGTTTGTATTGGAGGGATGTGGAGGGCGCAGGCTGCGGTAACGTTTTCAGTAACAACATTCCGTGCCCGTTCCCACCACTCCCAGCTCGCCGCCAGCTGGCAGGCGGTCGTGGGCCGCCCACCTGGTGAGGTCGAACGCGCGCACCGTGCCGTCCAGCGACGCCGAGAGGACGGCCTTGCCCGACTGCGTGAGCGCCACGCCCGACACGGCGGCCGTGTGCTCCACGAACGTGACGAAGCAGAAGCCAGACAGAGTGTTCCACACCTTGACCTAGGTGGAGGGACGGGAGTGGTCACACGCGCCGAGTGATAAAGTGTTACAAGTTATTTCGCATGTGGTACACACTAGCTGGCAGCGAGGCGGAAGCTGCTGCTGATAGAAATCGCAATACCGCTGATGCAAACGGCTCATTCGGGTTAGCTCTAGTAACTGTGAATCGCGCAGTTAGGGCAAAATAGCCCATATCGCTCTCAACTCAGAAAATAAACTGCACATGAATAATGTCACATAATGATGGCCTTAATCGCACGGTCCAGCACAGCCACAAGGCACCATCATGTCAGGCAGCACTGATCGCTACCCCACAGACGGCGCCGGACTCCCTCGAGCCCCGGCCAGCCCGGCTCGCCGCTCCCTAGGGCGTCACCTTTCCATCCTCGCCGCCAGTGACGAGCAGCTCCCCGCCCGGCGAGTACGCCAGCGAGGTCATGTTGTTGCTGTGGCCCTGCTGCTTCAGGACGTACGTCTCGGACTGCCACTCCCAGACGAGCAGCTGGCCAAGGCCGGAGCAGGCCAGGCCCACCCAGTCGCCGGCCGGGCTGAGCGTCACTGACGAGACCACCTGGTCCGACACGCTGACGGGACAGGGAACGAGGTCAAGGTCACCTGATGCGACCAGGAGTGAGCATCCCTCACGAGACCACCTGGTCCGACACGCTGACGGGCACAGGAAGTCACGAGCGACCAGGAGACGATCACGTGAGACCACCTGGTCCACACTGACAGGACAGACCGAGGTCAGGACACCTGTGCGACGTAGTGAGCGTCACGACGACCACCTGGTCCGACACGCGCGTGACAGGGACGAGGTCAGGGTCACCTGACGGACAGGAGACACACGTGAGACACCTGTCACAAGCGAGGGGCAGACGAGCGTCCTGACGCGACAAGGCGGACCGAGACCACCTGGTCCGACACGCTGACAGGACAGGACACGAGGTCAGGGTCACCTGATGCGACCAGGAGACAGCGTCACTGGCGAGACCACCTGGTCCGACATGCTGACGGGGCAGGGCACGAGGGTCACCTGATCCGACCAGGAGTGACTGACGATGATGGCAATACATTCGCAGTACGTACGTACATTCGTAGTACAGTACGTACATTCTCGTGTCCAGCTACACAAGCGAGCGCACCCACCTCAGGGAGTGTATGAGCGTGACGTCTGGCATCTCATGGATGAGGAAAGAGCCATTGGTGTAGCCGGTGACGAGCACGTGGAGGCCCGGGTGGAAGTCGGCCGTCGCCAGCTCCACCCGTCCGCCGCCCTCCCGCACCACGTCCACCAGGTACTGCTTGGCGCGCTGCTTGTACTTGGCCCGAGGTAGCTTGTCCTCTTCGTCATCGGACCCTTCTTGGGGTGACGCGAGAGGGGTGGCGAAGCGTCAGCAGAACTCTCCGACTTCTTTCCCTGGCTGCCCTTTTGACCGATTCGTTTGGGAGGGGATGGATGGAATGTGGTGGCTGGTAGGATAGGGCAGCAAGACATTAACAGATCCCCCAGACATGTGAGCTGGCTTGGGATGGGACGATGAGACGACGAGGGATAAGAGATCCCCTACCCTCCCTTCTTCCCCATGGTACATCGCAGTAAGCC